GGGCACCCCCCCCCCCCCCCCCCCCCCCCCCCCCACACCCTAATAAAAATTCACTGGAAAAACCTGTTATTGAGTTTTGGTAAAATTTTTTTTCATTTTTTTTTTTTTCCCCCCCCCCCCCCCCCCTCCATAACTGTCAGTGTATAGCTTATCCCCTTCCAGTTCTCTATGATCCTATTATGATCCTCCCTTAATCGTACGACCCCACAAGCGATATATAATACTTAAATACTTTTCCCAGTATCTACTGAACAAAATGCTGCTGGACCATAATTGTCTATGGTTACCACATTTTAGGAATTTTTAAAGTTTGCCATTTGATTTGTGCCCGTTAAGACACAATTCGTCATGGCAAAACAACTAAAGATAAACAAGCATCAATTAGAAATTGAAATATTAAATTAATTTTTTGTAAGAGTGAGTTTACTTAGCCCGTGAAACAAACATTGATTGTTAATGTGCAATAGTTAAATAGACACGAAAGAACACAATGGAAATAAGACGTGTGTACTAGCCTCTATTTTAGTCTACTAACTATTACACGGGTTAAGTAAAAGCATTCCTAATTGTCCCACTTAAGGTAAGGGGGAATAAGTTTGCGTTTCCAGACGTCAATATTTTTGTGGTAGTAGTATGCGACTTCATCAGTGTCAGTATCCGAAATCTATGCATTAATAGTATATATATGTGTGGCATGGGTGCCGCGAGAGGGCTGCTAATGCAGTATTTTTCAAAAGAGGGTTCAGGAACGTTAGATAATGTCAGGGGCGACAGCAACGATGATTAAATGATTGAAATGATCAGAAAAAAAAGCACTCGGAAAAATGAAAACAGAGAACGAAAAAGTCCTTTCTCCAAACATATATCAAAGTTCCTTCACAGAGGTTTAGCGCGGTGTAGTCCAGTGGTAAAAGACGATAGAGGTGATATGCGGTGAGAGCAGATATCTGCACTGCAGGTTAAACATATATCAAAGTTCCTTCACAGAGGTCTAGCGCGGTGTAGTCCAGCAGTAAGAGGCGACAGAGGTGGTATGTGGTGAGAACCGTACGAACCAAATCCATTATTTTCCATGACACGAAAACTGAGCTTGTGCGACACTGCAAATCCGTCCGCTCCTTCTAGTTGCGTCAAAAGTATAAGAACTTGCCTGAGAACAACAAAACCAATATCAATAGCTGTTATTACAGTTGAACCCACAATAAGATAATCTTTTGTTTTAAGAATCATACAAGTGTGGCTATCTGGTCGATACAATTCTTGTTGTCTCATTTGCATCGCATTTGCATGCATCCATTATATCTGCTATTTTGAAGCTATACGTTAAAAGAAGAAGGATCGATCGACAATAGGATTAGCGCCAAGGGTAGAGACATACAGTATGGTTAATGACTGTTGTCTGTAGAGAATGATCAATCGATATAAGCAAGAGAAAATGATTTAAGATGGCGCAACGTGATTAGATATGACAGGAGATCCTCCATTTCTTTCCTTTCGTAGAAAACATTGGTTTCGGTTACAACATTGCATGTATTATGGTAGCCCACACAACACATAAAATTGCGGGCAATAAAATCGTTTTCTAAGATGTCTTTGCTAAATGTGTGATACTGATGGAAATTGGCTCGATGCTCTATGGAAGTACCTATGCTACGGTTCAATGCTACTGTGAAGTTTTTTTTGCTATATACATCACTTAAATGTGAAATCCCTCTTCTTCAGAGCTAGAGATGCTGCTTGCAGCAGTTGAACCGTGTATCCGAAGCTTCAGGGATTTCAACGCAATGGACCTCTTTACCTTGGGCGTAACGTTTTCTCATTTCAGACAATGTGTTATTCTCTTGAGAATAATATTCTTTGTTTGAGTTGTATCCATATTTACGTGTCTTCACATGCGCAACCGTTAAACAAAGAAATGATACTCTAGGGAATGACACGTGGTCTGTAATGGCAAAACATTACGCCCAAGGTAAAGGGGTCTACTCAACAGGAGTATACGAAGTTGCATACCGATGAAGTGGAGGGACGCTGTCTGCAACCACCAAAGAGCCCCTTGTTGAGACGATATTGAAGCTCTCTGAGCAGTCACAGTCCACGTACAGGTGATGGTTGGGACGGCGATTCTCTGCAACCACTATCAACCCTGCCATGCCTTTAGCCAAGAAATAACACGTTACTCCAGAAATGCCCTATGATAAGATCCACATGAACCAGTGTTAATTATATAGCATTCTATGCAGCGCTGTTTGCACCCAACAGCCTTGTTTGTCCGTGCTGGACCACTAAAACCTTACCCCGTGTGTTTTGCCGTTCTTGATAACTACATCCAACATAAAGTCGGCCAGACAATTCTCAGGCATTGGAACCTGTTCAACGAGTACTGCCCTTGAACTGTGTATAGCCAACACGTAGCTTGGAAAACTATCCTCGTCTGTAACTGCCTTGATCAATTCAGGGTCAGCGAGCTCTCTGTCCGAGCTAATTGTCCAATGGTTAAATGCTGTACACACTGGAATAATAAAGAATAGCATTGTGAGCTCTCTATTAGAGTAGAACAGGATGGATGCCGTAGTCTGTGAAGGGGAAGGGAATACGGAAGGGACACTTTCTCCAATCCAATCCTCTAGATCTCGGCTCCCTCTTGTCTAAAAGGAAGAGATTCATTAGACTAGATTAACTTACTCTTCAATTTCGTTTGAGTGAAAATTGTAAGAGTATTGGGTTTTACTCAAGCATTTTTCTTTGAGGTAGGTTAAGTGAGGTACGACTTCGTGATATGATGACTAAAACCTCCATGCATTAGCATAGCCCATGATGCACTCGTGCGGGCGCCACCAAAGGAACCCCGCACACGAAAACCGATTCATTATATTACCTATCATGTAAGTGCCTTCCTCTAGGATCCCACTGCACATGACGCTTGATTTCACCTGGCGTTTGCTTCTCATGACAAAAGAAACAGGCTTCGGACTGGAGTCGCCAGCCGCTGTTGAACGACACACGACGATCAAGAGGTCGAGAGGAGAGCGTTTGTTTTCTGCAACACCTCTGGGAAAGAACAAGATTTGGTGATTGGAATGACAGATCCGTTATCTTGGTGAGTAAGGTTAATGTTGCTTGTTGGTTCTCACTCAGTCTTTTGTGTTTCGAGGGTTTTCCTCTATTCTTGTTGGTTGTTAGGGAATTTAGGAGCTCTACTTCACCCTCCCCTCCCCCCAAAAGAAGAAATGTTTAGGAAACTAAAAGAAGAAAGAAAGAGTCGGCCCGTTTTGTTTTCTCTTTCTGCTCGTCCCTCCCAAAACCTCGAGGGAGAAATGAAACCTGTCCCAGATCGTTACATTTTCTCGCGCAGCTCATTGGCTAGGGTCAAAACCTCACCTTATACCAGCTTGAAAGAGACAAAGATCTAGCTCTGTCGGTGCAAATACAGTTGCCATGGCAACCTTAGCTGGTCCCAGCGCAAATGGAGGAAAGCAGCCAGTCACACGCACATCAGCCCAGTCTTCACGTATCTTGCAGACGTCCACACTGTCGAAATAGCTGAAAACATAAATTATCAATACTTAGCACGTGTATCGTAATTTTTATTCATTAAAAAAAATCATAACAATCTTGGTCGCCAATGATTAATGATTTTAAAATCCTGACCAAAAGCACCAAGGGCTTTGCACGAGAAGCGCTTTAACTTAGAAGCATTACTGATGAAATTGCGCGCGCGCGTGTGTGAGTGTGTCGTAACTATGTCTTTTGCGGTAATTCCCAGGGCCTAGTTGTACGAAAGCCGGTGAATAGCGCTATCCGATGGATAAATCCTTATCCAGCGGATAAGACGATGCTGTTACCCAATAAATTTATCCACTGAATAAGATTCATCCGTTCCGTCGGATAGCGCTATGCAACCTTCGTACAACCGGGCCCAGAACTTCCGAAGGAAACGACAACCCACTTCTTGGCCAATGTCAAAGATAAGAAAGACGATTACATTTACTGTGGACTAAACATTTGTATTGCACGTCACACTGGTGTCTACGACTACGAAGAAATAGTTCTCCCTTACTTACTTCATAAAGTCTGCCAGGGATATCCAGAAGACGCCCTCTTCTGCCCCGTGTGCCATCAACTCATGTCTCAGCTCAGGCGTCCAGATGGATGATGCGTCAGACCACTCACCTTTCCATGAGAACCTACCCCATGGATTGCGCAATCTTAATAACCTGAGTAAAACAAGAGATGTTATTTTTTTATTGACTTTCAGTTATAAACGATGTAAAAAACTGCCCGTCAATGGTGTCAACTGAACAATTATTAATTTGATCTGTGTATCTCTACTGGTGATCAATGGACCTTTTACGACTTCGTCGCTCACTTGTTGCGCTTGACAATTTTTTCCATTCGCTTGAATAAAAGACTCGTGGGAGACAAGAGAGTTCGACTTGGGGCAGATCTAACAGATACTTTCTTTTATGAATGAATGAATCCTTTTATTAGGCTATTAAAACACTATTACACACAAGCATAGTGTAATACTAGAGCTAAACTTGTGTTTCAGCTGAATTGCACGCAGAGATAAGAAACTGGATGAGGTACTGTACCTGTGTCCGTGAACATCCTTGACGTCAAGAACAGAGTAGGCGTGGTGGGTCTGTAGACCTACGTTGTTAAATGTTGCTTCTTCTTCAGGCTTTGAGTCACCACCACACGAGGCACCCATTAAAAATCTAATGGATTGAGATGGTTGATAAAATGCACTTTAAATGCACTACTAGTGGATAATATAATGGTCTTCAGGGAGTACCTGATGTCTAGAAGCTTATTACCATCATCATCGCCATTACCACATTACCATCACCATCACCATCACCGCCATCATCAGCATCCCCATTATCATCATCACCATCACCATCATCAGCACCACCATCATCATTATGACCATTATCGGTACCACCACTCCATCATCATCATCATCATCATCACAATCATCGGCAACACCAACACCATCATCACCATCATTATTATCACCACCATTATCATCATGACCATTATCAGCATCATTACCATCATTGGCATCACCATCACCATCATCATTATCACCTTCACCAGCACCACCATCATCATCATGACCATCATCAGCACCACCACCACCATCATCATCATCATCACCATCATTGGCATCATCATCACCATCAGCACTGGCTACTACCAGTAGTGTCACCATCATACTGTTTAGTTATAGCATGGTTGGCATTGCAGTTCTACCCACCCGGCAGTTCTTGAGCTGAGTAACTTGACCCAAATCATGTCCACATCTATGTCCTCCCCTTCACCTGTAGAACTGCTTGGCTGTTCTGTTACAAGGAAAATGTTAAGTTAAAATAAAATAAATAGGATTTAGCAGTGGCATTTCCACAGAGTGGTTCTTCTGCCACTGAATTCCAATTGGAATTTAGAAGTCAATTTTTACGGAGGGAGGAAAACCGGAGAACCCAGAATACCCGAGAAGCAGAGGAGAGAACCAATGAACAACTCAATTCACATACAACATCAAGCCCAGCAGAACTCGAACCCGGGTTGCGTTGGTGAGAGGTGAACCTCTCACTGCTACACCACCCATGCTTCCCATATGTATGACCTACAAAGCATGCAACATACCACTCAAATAAAAGTCAAAAAAATGCATTTGTTAAAAAGAAATGTCAGTGGGCATGCGCAGTTATGGAGAGGTTTCCATGGCAATAGTAGTGGTTACCATAGTAATGCTAATGGCTACCATGGAAACAACAGTAGGTACATTATATAGTAATAGTAGTATTATACTGATAATTGACAGAAAATTGGCTAATATTCTATTCTTACTGTGTAGCATGATGCTCTCACAAGGTGCTCCAGTTAAGGTCTCTAGTCCTTCAATGGACCTTCCTGCCGACAGAGCCTCATAACTTCCATGTAGTTTTGCCATGGCTTTCTCCATTAAAGGGACCCACAATTGACGTCGGTGAGCCTGGAATGAACATGGTGATTATCATGGGAAATTTACAGTATCATAATGGCTTTAAAGAAACATGTTACTCCTGGGCCCACTCGTAAGAAAAGGGTGAATAGCACTATCTGATGGATAAATCCTTTACTTATCCTAAATGGATAAGTCGATGCTGTTAGCAAATAAATTTATTCACTGGATAAGATTAAAATATCCATCAGATAGCGCTATCCAGCCTTCGTACAACTGGGCCCAGAAGTTCTAATTATAGGAGTTCTGCAGTTTGGAAATGAGAGAGAATGAATGGAAGAAAAAATAAACATGGACATTTACCTGTGAGTATACAAGATTTCCACGATCATTACAAGGTAAAAGGTCATCTACCAAGATGATTGTCCATTTTCCATCTTTACACAGCCGCAATTGATATACTCCCTCCTCGCACACTTCCCTAGTAACTAGAATCTTTTCAAGAAGATCAGGTCTCTCAGCTAGCACAGCTAAAGAACTAAGAAACCTGTCAAAAAAAAGTATGATGCTTGTCAGGATATTCAAAATTAACTGTTTCGCAAGTGTTAATCTTTAGTTATAATAGTTACTTATAAGTACAACGTACCAGCAGTCTCCTAGAACACCTTGCATGATATCTGAAGGCCTTGGATTCCTGAACACTGCCCAAGGAAGTTTCTTTCTTTCATGACTGAAGTTATCTATTTCATCTGGTCTTAACCACTGGGTAACACGGGGATGATCTGAGTGGCGCGGGCGCAAGTACAGTGACTTGGCAGCAGGTGGGAAGGAGTCATCCACAAATGGTATACCTAGCTAAAAAAAAAAATATCATACTATCGTTAGGTTAAAAAGATATGTACTGAAAGCTAGTGTGCATTCTGGTTGGCTAAACTAAGAGCTGTAACTGCATGTGTCAATAGAATCGAGTTTTGAGGTTGAAACTTTGACAAAATGGCCTTAAAACTGCAGGCCTCTTGGCTTCTAAGTAATCTGCTCAACACTTACCTTTTTGCAGTATTTTGTAATTCTGTTCCATTGTTCCTTAGCATAGTTCTCGTCCCTTTTTCTTCTAGATTCTACTGACATGCTTGTCTGCCTTTGAAATGTAATTCTTGTGGGACTAAAAGATGGAAAGCTATCCTCTGCACTATCCTCTATCGACTGTGGTGAATCTGTGGTCTCTTCTTTGTTTTTGCCGCAGACCTCACACACTAATGAGGTTTGAGAATTGTGAAAAGTGCATGAAGTGCATTTCCAAACTATATAAAAATACAAAATTTTGATAATAATTAGATAAATTATTTAGCTAACAAAACTCAATGTATGTGATTTTTTCCTAAGCTCTTGCATTTAAAGCCGCAATTCTGTTTTGATTTTAATGATTTGATGTACAAGATACCTTTTATGGTGATGTGAAAGCAAAAAGGGTAGGGAAATGGGGAATTTTTCAAAAGGAATAATAACAAAAATAGGGGGAGTTTATGAATGTATGACAAGAAAAAATTACAAAATTTGAGACTACCTAGCAACTTTACACATCTATTTTAAACAGTTATATGTGCATGTGGATGGGAGAGTGAGATGGAATGGTTGGGTTGAGGAGATTTTCAAAGATTTATATTTTTAATATTATTATATTTATATATAATATTTATGAATGATTTATTTTTTATTTTTTTCTAGTAATCATTCAAAATTGTTCAAACTTTCCCCTACTAAAATGGAAAGATCTCTTTCATTGAGAATTAATTTAGAGTAGAATGTACTGGTTAGTATACAGTCACTTTAAACATCTCCACACCCCATTCCTCTACAGTCCTCTTCCTAAATTATAAAAGACATTTTTAGCATAGATATCGATGGTGTCAAAACAAATTGCAATATTTAGAAATATCATTTTTAGAACTCTGTTGGGTTAAACTTAAAGCTAGTGAATAAGTACCTGTACCACAAATGCACCTACCATGCGCTGCACCCATTCCTGAAGTGGAAGGTTCATTAATAGACGAAGGGCACACTCCTCTTGGTACAATATTATCAGCTGTTTCAAAACCTGTGCTACCTGCGGCCTTCTTAGTATCACACATTTCACAATTCAACCTAGAATTTTCATTAGTAAAAGTACAACTTGGACAGTTCCACATTCCAGGAATAGAAGGTGGTGTTGACTCTGGTGTGGAAGCAATAGATGATGAAGGGAAGGGTCTGGGCTTAAAACCTTCATCTTCACATCTCGTTCCACAAACAGTACAACATAATCCAACATTATCAAGAAGAAGAGTCCGACATTTTGGACACTTAACGATCAGTTCGGGACTTTGCTGAGCTACATGAGTGTCAACATCAATTTTTGGGATTTCTATCTCTAAATTTGGGTACAACCTTTCTTGAGCTCTTTGAGATTGTCCCTCAGAAGATGAATATTCGTTTTGACGATTCGACCTAGAAGGTAAGCCAGATGAATGTAATTCTTCGTCGTCTGGGTCAGGTATTACTATATCTTCCTTAGGATTACCACAAGCTGTACACTTTTCTATAGATGAAGGGTTTTCTAAAGTGCATTTAACACAACTCCATGGTTTTTTGCCTCCAACAACACGTCTAAAAAGATTGTGAACTCCATTCAAAGTAGAAGCACTTGACTCGATCGCTTGTGTTCTTGCACATTTACACCCACTACATCGTGAATTGCCTTCTGGATTTTTTACACCACACGTCCTGCAAATCCAATATGTATTATTCTCTGCTCTTTTATGACCACAAGCCTTACAAACATCGTTATTGCTTTTGTTGTCCAATGTACATTCGCTACAAGTCCATAGTATTTCTTCTTGAGATGTCGACATTGTTATTCCCATCATATAAAAATGCCTTGTTTAAGCCACTCTTTCTTTCCTTATATGCAAAGCTTGTAATATCGACATCATCTACAAACCTAGATCACCGATATCTTTAGCACCATTATTCAGCGATTTACGTACTGAATTTATAAACATTTGTACGTTCACGTTTTTCGACGAATTTCACTATCGATGAAAAAAATCCCCTGGGGGAGAAGAGAGAATCATAGAAAACAATTTTTTTTTAAACTAAAAAAGAACCTCTTAAAAATCCCAAGCCTTTGGGAGTAAATTAACCTGACCTTAATTTTAATCGCTTTGTAATGATTTTCTAGCCAAAGCAGACAATTTTTCTTTTTATTAATATTTAATTTTAGTCGACTTGACCCTACCCCGGGTAGAAATTGGTGACGCTTTGGAATCGAGGTGACCTCATACGAAACCGGAAATAGTCATTGAAGCTCAATGTTTGTCAAATGGCTGAACGGGAAATTCCCCGTACACTTCCGGTTTCCAAGTTTCGTGCTTATTCCTTCAAATTTTGTGAGTTTTCATCGTTTAGTTGCCGATCTCGATTCTTTGAAAGTCCGAGATTAAATAAAGAGGTTGTTTTGTGGAAAAAGGGATAATCATTGGGGGAAAATTGGCAGAGTATTTTTCATTGAAATTAATTTCGATCAGCTGAGAAGTCTTTGAATTTCATTGGTCAAGCACTGACCATCACGTGTTGTCAGCCAGAAAGAACTTTATGGAAAACTTGTGATTCAGCTGATGCAAATTGTCATCAAGTGAAACCCAGCAATGATTGTAAGAAAGGGAGTTTCATGTTATTATAAGTTATTATTCCTGCTACAGGTGATAATGGAACTACTTATTATCACATCTGTTACCCTCTTGCATTATATACCTTTCATCTGAGAAAGAAGCTCTAGCTATGGGCTCAATTTTGGCATTATTTGTGGATCAGAAGACAGGGACAGATTGGAATATTCCCCTTTGCTCCTAAGCCACGTTTTGGGATTCTACAATAGTCAAATCTCCTTATGGGCACCTCTATATTATGGACACATATTCATAGTAGGACCTGGCAAAATCATCATGTATTTATGCAACCTCTATATTATTAGGATACCTTAGTTTAAATATTAGGCACTTTTTCTCTTGCCCTTCTGTGTCCTTAATATATCAATTCATCAGCACCATTATAACCGAACATTGTACTGGCCAATCTTAGGTGTGGGTGGATGTATTTCCTTAAGGAGATTCAACATCTATGTTGGGTACCCAGTACCCCCCCCCCCCCCCCAGGGTTGGGTAATAGATGGGAAATTTTGCCAATGACACACTTTTTGAAAAGAGAAGATTATTTAGCAAAATCCTGAAGTTTTCTAGGAACCCTCCCCCCCGTGTTGGGTAATAGATGGGAAATTTCCCCAGTGACACACTTTTTGAAAAGAGATTATTTAGCAAAATCCTGAAGTTTTCTAGGAACCCTCCCCCCTCCCCCACGTGTTGGGTAATAGATTGGAAATTTCCCCAGTGACACACTTTTTGAAAAGGGAAGATTATTTAGAGAAATCATGAAGTTTTCTAGGAAATCCTCAATCTTCTTTTTAAAAGTTATACTTTCTAGAAAATCCTGGAATTTCCGGTCAACGAATTATTAGAAAAAATCTTCGAATATTCTCATCATATCTAAAAAATAATTTTTAATGAAATTTGCATGACCCACACTTGACCGATCCCTCCATCTAATTTTCTAGCAAAATTGTTTAATCAATGTAAATGTACATTTTATACACAGAAAACTAAGAACCCCAACTGTCCACCAATGATTGGCAGCCATGTAGCAGGCAATTGTCAGCCAATGATTGGCCAGCTTTCTGGCCAATGATTGACCAAATGTCAGTCAAAATTTGTCAGCTGGTCATAAAGTACTTGATTACTCATTTAACCCATAAAGCAGTTTAAAGTGCCTTTGACACCTAATTCAAAATTTTCAGCATCGATTCTAAATGAAGTGAAAAATTGAAAAGAAAAATATTTTTATATGGTTTGAGTGATGCATCTTGGAGATATCAAGGTTTATACTTCCAATATGTTATTTTTATGTGACGTCAAAGGAGGCATTTCAGTTTAGCTGCCATCACATGGAAATTGAAACACTGATTACTATGAGAATTTTTTTGCTAGAACCTTTCTTGAAATCCTAAGTAAGACAATGTTTTATATAGGATACTTAACTGCCCTAGAAAAGTTTTGTATATTCAATGAAGCCTCCTTTGACATCACATTTTGTTGTCAAAAGCATTTGAAGAAACAGGACACTAAAGTGAAACAAGAACAGTCTGAAAGCCAAATTTGTAAAAGCAGAGATGTTGAGAGTTGAATTAAAAATATCTGGTGCTATATGTAGTTGTAAGGAACTTATTTTGACAACCCTATGTCTGCTATATATACTATAAAACATTTCTTACTAGGTAGCTTTAGGATGTTATTTATTTTAATATCACAATCACAATCACAATTAAAATTAAAATTAAAATTAGAAAAACAAAGTACTCACTGATTATCACTGTAATTATTATTTCATTACATTTTACATTGTATTGACATTTGCTATCAGTAACAGGAAATGGAAAAAATATCATTGATGTGAATAACTGAAAAGATAATTACTATTTTGTTAATAGTGAACAATACAACACTCAAATCTGTGTTAATAGGTTGTTGCCAACAGCATACATAATTACAACCTACCACCATCTGATCTGCTGGCAATCTATCTTGAACCCTATCAACACCAATTCATTGGTCGTATTGTTATTGATATTATCCATAATTCATCCTTTTTATTCCTAATTTTTTATTCACCTCTGCCTTATGATTGACATGCTGACACAACTTGTGAAATTCATTACTAGTTCATAAATCTACATAAAATTTGGGACATTTTAAATTGGTATGCTAATTATATATTAACCACTAGTGCTGTACCGTGTCCTAATTGGCTCCTGAAACTTGTAAGTTTGTCGGTGGCTACAGTGTACTGCGCATGACAAAGTTCGCATAAGTACAAACATACAGATTTAGGAGCCAGTTAGAACAATGTTTTGAAGTCTGGTGTTCACACAGGCTACTGTAACCTGACTTTGGCATATTTTTCTGTTTTCTTTTGACTATAATATAGTATAGGTGCCTAGTACATGAAGCAGAAATATGAAAAGGAAGAAAAAAACAATTTCACTTTACTGCCGTGCATGTTTGTTTCATTCTTTCAAGTTCCAACAAATGCTTAGGGCTGGCCATTTTGTCCACTCATGCTTTACGTGTCACATTCACCACTCAGCTGGAAATTTACACTCCAAAACTATCCTTAGTACTAGCTTCTTAGTTATATTTTGTTGCTGTTGGAGGTACTGGATGTCCAATTAAGAGTTTGAAACCCTTTAAGTCATCTACAATAGTACAGTGAAAGAGGATGTTTGAAATGACAACTATATATTCACAAAATGCAAAAAGGCTGTAGACTGCAGAGATGTAACCAATGTTAAGGATCATACAATATTTTTAAGCAACCAGGTACCCACTCTTACAGAGTAGAGAGTAGACTTTCTCATTCCTTGAGGAAGTGTAGAGCAATGTAGGTGAGGGCTAGGACTTTCAACAAAACATTATCACAAACCCTTTGACATTTTGACATGCTAACAATGGTCCACCAAGTTTCTTACCATGTATAAATATTAACAAGTTAGTCCCATATTTATCTTTCATTGATTTTTCATAACACAAATGGCATGAAGTATGATTACTAAGTATTTGTACCATGCTAACATAAGTATACAATTGTATATATATTTCAAAGGATACCTCCCGACTCACAATACCAGTTGTGTCTGAAGAAGAAGTACACAGCTAATGCAAATGAGCCATAGTTGACCCCTACCAGTGTTACCTTCCTTCGGAATGACTTTGTTTCCTGTAACAATATTAGATAATACCATATAATTGTCTAGTACATGGTATCTTGTACACTTAATTTGAATTCAATCTGTAGGTTAGCACTGGCTAAATTTGTCAGCGGTGCATTAAATATTCAGAGTTTCACATAGGGGAAAAGGGCCAGAGTTTCTTCCCGTTAACCTCAACAAATTATATTCTTTCCTTCTCGCCCATGGTGTGTTAATTTTATATTATGCCTGCATTTGTGAAACAAGGAAAAACCTAATGACATTACACTGTAGTGTTGAAGTAAACCTGCAGAAAAAACTGTCTGAACACTGCTTTTTACCTCGTGTGACTTTGGAGATTTTGAAGACTTATAACGTAGAAAGCAAGACAAAAGCATGTGAATCATTCCTGCCACCATGAAAAGGATGAAGCTCTTTTCATGCACACCTGTTGATATATTTTCAAGATAAATAAAAATATTTTATCTTCTCAAATATTTATTAGAAAAAATTAAATTTAATCTATTATTTTAATTCAATGTTTTGAGGCTGCCAGGGTTCAATCCCTGCTGGCCAAAGCATCATTCAGGGACTAAAATAACTTTGAAGGTGCTGCCTACAAATGGTTAAACCTTCACGTGACTTGAATGACCACATTAATAGAAATCCTGTCTCTCAACACTGAAAAAAAAAAAAAAAAAAAAAATTCCCCCATTTCCCACAGGGTATAATCATTAGAATCAATATGTTAGTAACTTCTACTTACTATAATTATCATCGGAGGAAACATATGTTAGCATCAAAAGAGCGAAGTTCTCAACAACCAAGAGAAGAGACTTAATCCTTGTCATCCATACAAACCACGTAGAAGGTGTACCAATGATTCTGTTATGTAGTATTCTATGCTCTAGAATAACTACTATTAAGCGCATAAATGAATGATATGCAATGCCTATTCTCCAGATGTATTTCTCAGGTGAGTAGTCTCCTGTGGCTGCACTTATGGATGGCAAATAGTTAGGGACCTAAAAATATAAAATAAATATAAATATACAGGCCTATCACTAGGACAAAGTGAAAGGGAAGTGTTTGTTTTTGTTAACTAGTTATGCCAATTTTTGATAAACATTTTACTGTGTTGATGGATCTTATTGCATTTTTTTGTATAGGAGGAGAGGGGGGTTCATTTGAACTATTAAACCACCCCTAGCGATTGGTCTGATAGGACAAGATCAGCAAACCCCCGGTTAAACATTAAACTACCCTGACTAAATTAATACCAACTCAATATATAGACAACACAAGTTTAGTATTGAAAAAATAAAAACAAGGTGTGCTTGTGCTCATGTTTGATCACCATTTGGAGCAGATAAATAATGAGTCTTAATTTTCAGTAATCCTGTTCTGTAGTCCTACTTGACTTTCAGCAAGTGCTGAAATCATGTAGTCTTATACCGTTTTTTTAAAAACAGATTTTAATTAGTTTTTAATTTATTGAAGAAATAGAAAAAGTGTGTGTGTGTGCTGTGTGCAGTCCTAATGCACACGGGGGTTGGCAGAACACGAGAGAATGTTAGGAGAAGCACAATGCATAGCAGAGTGCTTCTGGACACTTTTTGAGTGTTCTGCCAATCCCCTTAGTGCTTTATAAAGTCCTGTACACAGCACAGCAAGCAAGCAGGTGTTTAATTTCTTTTATAAAATACAAATTACAATAACAAAAGAGGACAAATATTCTGTATCTTATTTAAAGACTTCTGGGTAGACAAATTCAATATAATAAACTACAATATTGTGTTTTTTCTCATTAATCATTCACCCTTGTCCTTATTAACCATCTATAATTTGATATAAAATTGTAAAAATCAATATACTTCGGTTACCCTACAATGGGACTTCGTAACTTCATCAAAATGCAACAAAATTGAAAGAAGCACGCAAGATACACTTGATACTAAAGGCAAAAGACAAATAATCCCGGTAAGGAGAACGCAATCGACTTCCAACAATGGATTCCGCATACTGGTTGAAATCATATCATGAAAGGTGTGAACCGTAACGAGTATATTTACTGTAACAATCAGTTATTTATTAATTTATTTACATGAATTTACATATCAAAACACGTAACCATTGCACCCACAGAGAGGCTACAGCGGTCATAAAACAAAACCAATTTTGCTCTTTTAAAAACAAAACCAAATGAGTCCTTATATATATATATATGTATATATATATATTTTTTTTTTGCGTAAAAAGATAATATTATCTTTCCCTCTGCTGAAAATGATTTTTGGAGTTTTGACAGTAAAGTCCTAAAGTCCTCATAAGTCTTACCTTACAATGAGTTTTTGTGACCTCGTCAAAGTGTAGTAAAACAGCGAAACATATGCAAAGAATGGCTGACGTGAATGGCATAAGAGCAATCATTTTATAGACAAAACAAACGTCTATGTTGATAAGAGGACCCTGAATGTCGGGCATGACCATCTTCGGATGATGCTTATGTTCCTTGGTTGATAAATGATTCTGGAACTCAGTTCGGACCGGGCCGGCCTTTGCTTCGTGGTCTCGTGTTTGACTTGTGCTAACTAAGTATAGATCTTTTAACGCCTGTCCAGAATAAGATGTTTGTTATGGAATGCTAGTCTATTCATGATTATAATGAATTGAATTGATCCTTTACATTAGTTGGCGTTAAAAGAACTGACACTCAGGGAAACACAAATCGCATCACCTTGTCAATGAACGAGCGCATGGCATGGACCGACACAGGTAGCCCAAACTACATGCCTAGGCCTCAGAAGAAAGCGCTCCTCCCAAACTCTAACTATGTATTCTAAGTTTTTTTATAATAGTTCACTGGTATAAGGATAATTATGAGGAAAAATGAAAAGAAATAACTGGAAGAAAAAGAAGAAAAAGAATATCATAAAAAAGGCGCCAAGCGCCTGCAGTATAACGTCCAGCGTTCTGCTGTCTCACAGTAGATCAACAACATGGCCGCAGTCAATTTGGAGGTAAAGTTCGCCAATTTTGTCCTTTCATTTTGTGCCTGAATTTTTTTTTTTGCCCACCAATTACGTGAAAATAGCCTTTGGGGAGATTCACTGGGATGTTTATCTGCGTTAAAATTTTTGCGATACGCAATTTTTTTCAGAGCTGTCGTAAAACGTTTTTCCAGAAAATATCAACTTTACATGATGCACTTTGTTCGGGTCAAATGTTACTACGTGTTTCTAAATCACTAAATTGAAACAGGTCTTGAATGAGATTATTCTTTTAATTCATTTAAAAAAATCTTACAATGGATTATAACTATTCTCCAAATAAATGTAGGTGAGCATTTATGAAAAACTATCAGAACACGTACAGTACCATATATGCTCTCTTCCAGGTGGTTGAATGAGAGGGATGGTGCATTGGACTTTTATGTATGAATATTAATAACATTACATAAATTGTAAATCACTGAATTTACATTATCTATTAATTGTTTATCTTAAATTTTTGTGTAGTTTCCAGAGCTGAAAATAATGGCCAGTAAGCGCAGATAATGGTTGACCAAAATTTGCACTTGTATTCTTGGCATGCAGCCATGTGACTAAAATGCATGACGTCAACCAATCTGGTGGACTCCTAATTTGAATATTCTGTGTGACGTCACTTGCATGCCGAGAATTGCTAAGCACCTATTAGGTCCATCTTCACCAGTCATATTAACTACAACCCTTAAATTTGCTTTAAGTTGTTATCTTATGATTGATTGCCGTTTGAATATAACAGGATGAAGATTCATTAATACCAGCAGAAATAAAACTTCCAAGCCAAGTTTTTGATGTTGCATTTCATCCACAAAGGGATGTCATTGCCGTAGGAGAGATAGAAGGAACTGTAACAATGTAAGAAATATAAAGTAGAGTAAAATATGTTATTTATTGGCCAGGAGGTCCAGATAGGGAAAAACTGTCCCAAGGCTGTTAGGGGAATGACTGTCTTCAAGGCCGTGGGCACAGTTTTTTCCCCACTAGGACCAACTTTAGGACTATAGATAACTTATCTATTTTTTCCCATTTACTTTTCCACTTTTTTGCAATTTGTTTTGTTGTTTTATAATCCATTATCCCATGTGTGGGCAGATGACATAAACCTTAATACTGTGTGTGTTTGTATTGCAGACATTCCTACTCAACATCGGAGCAGAATAAAAAGTTGATGGAGCTGAATCATCATAAGAAGGCTTGTAGAGCTGTTGCCTTTTCTTCTGATGGCACCTGTAAGTAACCTTCTTTCCCTAAAGTTGATCCACACTCAAGACTTTGTTTTTGAGATACAGTACATGTACATGTATGATGACGGTGAACAAACAATATTATTTTGTCCAAAATTGTCTCACTCTCATAATTGCTGCCCGCGGTACTTTTGACGCTTTTTTTGTCCCAGAAAATGGATAGTATTCCAATATATTATTATAATACGATATATACAATACAATACAATTATTGCCACATCTGGGAATCAGATTTTGACATGCAACATTTAGAATTATAATAAGACTATAAAAGTTTAAAATATTACCAGTATCCATTTTCTGGGACAAAAAAGGGTCCATTACAGAGGGTTTTTTTTGTCCCACAAGATAATATTTTAATAATGAGAGGCACGAGCAACGTGCACTGCTTATGCATCTCCTCTCATCAATGTGACCCAGGTTCAAGTCCTGCCGGTTCAGTGCTGCATGTGAGTAAAGTTGTTTGTTGGTTCTCTTCTGTGCTTCGAGGGTTTTCCGCTCTGGGTTCTCCAGTTTTCCTCCCTCTGTAAAAATCAACTCCTAAATTCTAATTTGATTTATCAACTGCCTTATCAATAAAATTGGGATGCAAAACTTGTTAGGGGTTCGCTGTACACCCAAGAGTGGTAAATGCATTAGATTTGATTAATTTAAATTATAATTTTAAATGCTACATGTTCACAAATCAAACTGCTCCAATATCTTTTTTTAAATTTACTTTTAACAGATCTATTCACAGCTTCAAAGGATAAGTCTTTACAGGCTGTTGATTTGAACACAGGAGCTGTTGCCCACACAAGACGGAAGGCACATGAGTAAGTTTTTTGATGTATAAAAATATGGATGCCAGGAAAGTTTGATTTTTTAATAAATTTTTCTTAACTGGATGAAAAGAAAATGATTGATTAATTAGTTTACAAAAATAATTATAGAGTAGTGATTTCATGACGCAAGGCGAGGTGATTATGGAGAAATAGTCCCAAGTTCTCAACCAATCAGCATGTGCAATTCTGTATTTATAACCATCTGGGTAATGATGCTAATAATTTATTATTACCAATATTAATTATTATAATCAATAATAACGAAACAATACCAACTAAGATTCCCATGCAACCTTAGATTTTTAAAAGTTATCAAGACACTTCATTCTTTATCATTCCTTCTTTCTTCAGCTCACCAATCAATTGTTTAAAACTGATAACAGATCAGCTGATAGCTACTGGAGATGATGATGGGTGTGTAAAGGTAAAAGTTGTAGTTTTTAATCCTTTTTGATTGCCTAAAGAATTATCATGAGGTCATATTCATGAGGTCCATATTCATAAGGTCCATATTCTGACATTAGGTCCATATTCATAAGGTCCATATTCATTAGGTCCATATTCATAAGGTCCATATTTGTAAGGTCCATATTCATAAGGTCCATATTCATAAGGTGCACATTCATAAGGTCCACATTCATAAGGTCCACATTCATAAGATGCATATTCATAAGGTCCATATTCATAAGGTGCACATTCATAAGGTCCATATTCATAAGGTCCACATTCATAATGTCCACATTCATAAGATGCATATTCATAAGGTCCATATTCATAAGGTGCACATTCATAAGGTGCACATTCATAAGGTCCATATTCATAAGGTCCATATTTATAAGGTCCATATACATAAGATGCATATTCATAAGGTCCATATTCATAAGGTGCACATTCATAAGGTCCATATTCATAAGGTCCATACCAGTTGAAGGTAAAATGCAAAACAAAATCCCTGTATAATGTCAGCTGTGCCACATATCCCTCCTCACTCAATTGACAACCCACAGTCACCCAGCAATTGCAACTGACAATACTTGGTCAACAATTACACTGTAAGTCTCCCGGAGTGCTGTATACAGACTGTCGGCTGTACTACATCTCACCACAATTCCAATAGACAATGCACTGTCACCCAGCCATTGCACAGCTGACAGTTAGCAACAGGGTATACTTGGGCAATGACTGTCAGCCACCCCACATTTCACTGTTACTTCATCGGCAATCCAGCATTGCATGCCTGTTGCATGTCTGATGGTCGAGTTGCATTTTATGCTAGGTGCTGGTACAGAAGTTTTAGCTGATATGCCATCTTTCTTTTATTAAATCTTAGTTATGGGACAGGCGGACAGCTCAGTGTAGCATGGAAATAAAAGAAAACGAGGATTTTATTTCGGATATGGAATGTGATAGTGAAAGGAAAATTCTCTTGGCTACTAGGTATTTATCAAGACTATCAAGGTCCAAAGATTCAGGACTATCAAGGTCCAAAGTTTGCTTTCCATCCTACTTTGAAGCTTGCATTAATGAAATGAACTTTGCAAATTTGAATTATGGGCTCAGATTTAAAGTTTATTTAGTCCTTCACAGATTTGTGCAAAGCTGAAATTATTTCAACAATCCTTTCACAAATGGACATTTTGATGTTTTGAGGCAAAGGCTGGGATTGAAGGAATTTGCAACATTCCTTTCATTAATGCAAGCTTCAAAGCAAGATGTAAATCAAACTTCCACTAATGAAATTAATCTTTGTACCTTGATAGGAAAGAATGAGCTGGTTTGACTTTAATAACCATTTGGATGAGTACAATAGTTTAGCAATTCAACCAGCATTATCATTCAATTCTAAGCTTGATTAAGTGATAACCCTGTCACTTTTCACTTTTAGTGGTGATGGATCTCTGTCAGTTTTTAATGTGCGACGGCAGAAGCTTGAAAACAAATCTGACAATGTTGAAACAGAACTTTTATCTGTTGCCATTGTGAAGGTAGTGTGGTTTCTTCTCCTTTTTTCCCTTTCATTTCATTGGCTTTTGTTCCATTGGCCTCCCTTCCTTCCACTTTTTCTCATTTCATTAACCTTTCCTTTCTTTCACTTTCTTAATCTTTCTTCCTTCCCTTCATCTTTCATCTTCCATACACTCTACCTTTTTTTCATCCATTTAACCTTTCTTTCATTCATTCATTTGTCCATTTATTCATTAATCCACTCTATTAACTATTTATTTATTTATTTATTCAAAGGGTGGGCGTAAAGTGGTGTGTGGAACAGGTGAAGGAGCTTTGAATATTTTTAGCTGGGGAGAATGGGGAGACTTCAGCGATCGATTCCCAGGACATCCACAATCAGTAGATGCATGTGTTGCCATTAGTGACAATGTCGTGGTTACAGGATCCATAGATGGAATCATAAGGTATGGAAAAATTGATCATTATTTGTTCATATTTCATATATGCAATGTATTTTAAAAAATATTTATGCAATTTTTGAAGTGAAATGTTTAATAAAATAATAGAATTACTAACAAGGGTGTAACAAAAAGTTTCCCTTGTTTTAAAATGTATAAAAACTAAAAACACCTTAAAAGGCAACACTTAAAAAGGTAATGAGTAAGACATAAAAATTTTCAGCTTCTTCGTCGATCCTGCTTAAAAGTGTCTCCGAAACTTGCGGTGTTGCCATAGCAACAAGTCACCCATTGGAAAATAAACTCACATCTTGTTTGTCAGCCGGTGAAATTAAGCAATCTTTTCTATTTCAGAGCTGTTCATATTTTACCTAATCGCCTTCTTGGCCCAGTGGGGGAACATGCCGATTTTCCTATTGAGAGAATAAGGTTATCCCGTGACGGGAATCTTATCGCTAGCTGTTCACATGACCAATCAGTCAAATTCTGGAACATAGAGCATCTTAAAACCACTTCTCTAGCTCCTGGTTCTAAGAAAAAGGAAGCAGAAAACGTTTGTGGAGCTACTAGTGATAACTTCTTTGCAGATTTGTAAATCTTGTACATAAAAACAAATAGAATTCTATCTTCTTCAAATATAAACTTTTCTTGTGATGTTGGTTACTTGTCTAATTATTCATGTATGGTCTCCCTGTGTGCTAACACATTCATGTGCTGGGCTACCTGTGGTGCCAGAGAACATTCTTTCAAAATGGATTGAATTATTTGTTATATAAACCCTTATTCTAAAATATGAGCGCCATTGTTTAGCTGTGTGTGTGATACACTAGGTGCACAGTCTAGACTTGGTCTACTGATATTTCATGGTTAGACGTGGGTGTTACTGTAAGCCACGTTGATAGACAAGGTGTTTTTGATACACAAGACATGGATTGTTGAAATGATGGAGATTTTTGACACAAATTCACAGACTTCTCTGTCTGTCTATGGCCCATTATCTTAACTCTTTTCCTTCCACACTTTCAACAATTAACACATTTTAACCTTGTTTGGGCAAAAATGTCGACACTGTAATACATGTAGACGAATTAGGGTGTGGTAGCGAGACAAATTTTTGAAGTGTCGCGCGCCACAGTTCGGTGAGATCCGTAGTAACGTTTATTTATAAACTGTTATATCTTGCAAATGTATGATTGTTCCGCTTTTTCCTAATCGATGCAACACGGAGTCTCCAAGATAAGTTCTTTTTAGTTCACTTTCCTTCACTAGCCTGTGTCTGCACCACATCGTATACAAGTCTTCCAAGATTGTGGAATAAGTCATCAAAGAATAGAGTCACATAGTATTCAACGTTTTTATTCATACAAAACTTGTAATACCACTCAATTTTTATTTAATAGATTTCAATAAATAGACATTTATATTAATTCTTTTTATAATAAGCAAGCTAATCTATCATTACAATTTCTCGCATATATGCTTCAATTCAGCTAAATATATATATTTTTTATAATAATAAATATATCTTGAAACTTCACAGAAAAAACGCTAACTGATTTTCACTTTGAAATACTTTTCAACTAAATAAGTCATTTCTTTTAAAATATATTCTTTTCGTAAAAACTTGTGAATGAAGTATTATAAATAGATAAAATTACGTTAATTTGGAAGTATTCTTTTAACATAACTTGAATTTTTGCGGAGTTTTTCAAAAGCATTCCTAACGATTTTTAAGCTCCAAAAACGCCGACAACAATATTCAATTCAATTATTGGAAATTGATTGTAACACCAACCGCTTTCTYATTCTTCTCAGTCGCGTTACAGTTTAATAACTTAGCTTTTTTAAACGAAGAAATGGAAAAAAAGTAGACAAAGATGAGGGATTATGTGTTAGGCAAGGGAAAAGCCACTTGTAATGCCTTAAGAATTTAAGGAATTATTTCATTGTCACTTGAATAGCTTTTTGTTGTCCACGTGTTCAGCGATAGATAAAAACCTTTTTGCAGTTAGACAGGTTGTGATTACATTTTTGTAAGTTTGAATTGTACTTTGTCGGGCTATAGGAAGTGTATTCTTGAAATCTGTCTCCGTTTTAACTTCGGTCAATCCTTTTGCGGTCGGTAGAGGTATTTCATCATCTTTGTTCGATAATGTCGTGGTCAGTAACTTCATGAATGCCGGCATTAATGATCTGTCCCCTAAATGTATCCGGAGTAGCTAGTGTTCCTTATTACTTATCAATAATTTTCTATGATGATGCCAGGTTCAAAGTTATATGAAAGTTTTTGACTTTGTTTAATTTTCTGCATTTTTTGCTGCAATATATGTATTCCACTCTACATATTCTGCATCCTATTCTGCTGTTACACGTGTCTGAATTGATGCAAGACTCATGTTCGCCAAAGCAATCCATTTGACATTTCACTTTGTTTGTTTGTTGGGCTTTTGCCAAGCATGCAATTGTTAGAGCAATTACCAGTAAGACGAAAAAATTACTTCTGTTCATCTGAAAAAAACAACAGATAACATTAAACTTATGAAATAAAGTAGTGTTTCAACTTATCCTCTTACTTTTGAAAAGGGGAGGACAATTTTTTTTTTGCTTACTCAAAATTTTGGAGGCCCCTCACATGTAACCTAAGAAAATAACTAAAACAGTTTGAAAGACTCCATAGTTTAAAATTTTACCCTCAGTATCCTAAGACTAAAATTTTTACATCCTTGAACTAGTTGACCATTTTTCAGAAACCGTTGCCAGAATTTTTGTTACTGTGTTTTGACTGGGAAAAAAATCCCGCTTTTATTCCTTTCTCGTACTTTGAATTTTTTTAAATTCTCCTCTGAGTCGTCTCTAACAAAGCTTTGTTAAATAGAAAAGAAAATTAGACTTACATGCAGCCTGGTTGATGTGTACAGAAAAATATATCTATGGTAACGCTATGTGATTTTCAAGATCATAAGAATATTAGAAGTTGTGGAAAGTCTAGGAACCTAGAGCTCTAAATTACAAAATATTTGGTGGTAAAAATTTGATGAATAATCCTTAGTGGTTCCCAAAGGCTAGTTAAGTTGATAAAAAATGATTAAGAAAATTCGGTTTTTGTGAAAAAATTATATAGAAAAGTTAAAAGTTGATAAGAAATGATTAAATAATATTGAATTTTGAACAAATTAAAATCTTGTTTATGAATAAGAATTTTTTTCAAACTTCTACGACGTACATTTGTAATTACCTTGGCTTCTGTCTTTTTTCGTGTTCTTGAAAGCCTTTTCGTTGAACTGTTTTGAGCTGCACTCGTTAGAGTTTTGAGCGTGATGTAGTCTGCTACTAATGGTTTACAACGTCTTTTGACCTAACAGCAGCATACAACCACTTTATATATATGGTATGCCGAATCCCGAGGGACGGATCTAAATAATACTAGTTCATTCCTAAGCACTGGCTCGTATGCGCTCTGATTGGTTAAAAAAAATGAACACACCTCACTGTCATTATGCGTAGTGCAATACTAAGATGCCTACAAACGGAAGAAAACAAAAGCCAAGGTAGAGTAGGAGGTTATGTGCTTGCTAAGTGCAAGACGTATACTTTTCCTACGTATTGTCCAACGTCTTTTCACAGCTAAAACTTCTTAATAATAGCCTGTTGTTTTGTTTTTTATATCTTTATTTTCCGTAGTGATCTTTGTTTGGGTTTTGTTTAGGGTTGTTACTGAAAAAAACATCTTTTGTTTGGATTTCAATTGGTCTAAATCATCTAATGATTTGATTGTTATTACTGCATTAGCTAGTCAATTTATACCTTGCGTCACGCATTCCGCACATAGTTAGGTGTTAACATAATTACTCACGTATGGAAGTGACGCAGATGGCGTGACGTGAAACCGTAGAAACGCCAAACATATTTGTGTTCTAACAGGTTCTAAACAGCAAGGATTTATATTTAGTGAGTGTATTTTTTAAAAATAAAAACTCATTTTTCTTGTTTGTTTCAAAAATATCTTCTGGGTCCTGTGCAAGTCGGAATAGCCAAGGTTGTCGACCAATGCATGCCCTGTCACTCCGGCACCGTTCTCCTCTGCAGTACTTAGTTATTGTTCTCCATAAAAGTAGAGACTTGGTTGTTTTAGTTTAAGGAAAGGCGTAGGAAAACTTTTAAAAATTACAAAAATACAAAGTCAGAAAAATGATCAAAAACTTCAACTCTGACAGCGATTTCCGATCAGTGTTGAAGTTTTTGACCATCGTTCTAAATTCAATTTTTGTAAATTTTAAAACACTAAAAAATATCAAATGAGTGATCTTTATGCGTTTGTTTGTCTGTGTGCCTGAAGGTTACTGTAATATGTTTTCAATATTTTAGATACTTCTGTAATATAACACACACTGAATATGACATCAGATCCGCTTTTCGATGTGCTTGATATTGTAGGTCATTGACGAATGTCATCAAAAGCTTGCAACTTCCTTAACCATATGTAATTCAGCAAGTCCAGGAATCGAGGATTAAATACTCGTTAATATCATTCCTCTTCCATTAACTGTTCAGTAATTACAGGTAATTGAACTCCATTTAATGTGGATTTTTGTCATTTGTTCTTAATAAGTATTTAATATAATAAAACTTTTTATCTAATCAAAGCTAACGAGATGGGGATTGCGCATTATATCTAATGATTATAGATAAACATCCTTAATTTGAGCTTATCCCTTATTGTATTTGTTCAGTTTTTCGCGGATTATTGGAATTAAAACTTGATTTCTAGCGAGGGTATTACTTAACAGTCCGAGAACATCCATCTTTTTTATTGTAATTTTTTGATTTACGAAAGTTGATAAAAACTATAAAAAAATTAGTTTGTTTGATTGAGGTTTTCCTGAAAGTTTTGTTGTTGTTTTAACACGAATAATTTTCTTATTATGTCATAAAAATAATAAACTTGAAGCTGAGAGAAAAGATTATTTTAGTCTATTCATGTTTCTAGTCAGTTTGTGCCAAAGGATTTAGACTGAGATTGTAGCGAGTCGTGATTGCTTTTGTATAGCTCGGGGAAAGTCTTGATTGTGATAATTACAGCTTGTAATAGCAAGGACCCCAATTGAGCTTTCCTTCCAAATACCTCACAGAGCTTTTAATCTTATTTATTCGTTGTTGTATTTTTTAATCTGCGTGGGTGTGGCTGATCCAAGAATATCTACAACTGATCGCCAGCTGTGACGTTAATTAAACCGGCTGAACGCAGGCTAGCTGCGACGACGAACGATAAAAACTTCATTTCCGCTCGTTTGTCGTGTTGAAAAACATCCAGTAATTCCTTATTTGGTGTGCTGAAACATCGACGTTATGTTGCGGTTTTGTCCGCCGGCATACGGACCAAATCATGAGGGCGGGCGCGGGATGGCGGAGTGAGTGGGTTGACCAGCTCTCATTAGTTTGCCGCCCCACTAAGTAAGATCGAAACGAGACCTTATACCCGCAGATCGGCTTATCATTAATTTTGCCCCGGTAAGATCGAAACGAGACCTCATGCGAATTTTGTTGTTCAGTTTTCGAGATTTCGAGCTTCGGTTTCTAGATTCTTTACATTAACAGTCATTTTATTTGAATTTCGAGCTGAAAAATATTTGCTAATGTTTTTGTAAGTTTGTGCCCCGTAAGTGACGAATTTGCCCCTTTTTAAGTATTTAGTTTTGTTTGATTTTTGACTTAGCAAAACTGATCAAGTCGTGTATTGCTAATATCGGTCTGTGACGTATGTAAAGTGTAAGGAGTTTTTCGCGCATGCTCAAAACGAAATACACTGACCACGGACTGGCAAATTCGATTAGGATCACTCGTTTGTCTTGAACGATGACATCCGCATTGGAGATCACATGTAAAGACCCTAGTTTCTCGAGTGGTTTACTAGCTTGTGGGACAGAAGAGTGAGAAGATCACAGATGGTAGCCGTTTTCGAGCTAAACGTTTTGAGATAAGTCATGGGGGATCCCAGAAGTAGAAATATATACTAGAAATAGTTGAGCAGTCCCTTTCGATAGAATAATTAGCACATTTATTTCAAACAAAAATTGGTTTTCGATTGGTAAGCAGCGTCCTTTGAACATCATAGTCGTAGACGGGTTCAGGGGCAGCCAGTACTTACGCAGATTGCATACGTAACTTGGCACTGACGACACGATGGTTTGTTGTGGCAGGAGTCTGACATTTGACAAGACATATACTTAGCAAAACAATCATGTCGGCACTTCTCCCAGGGAATGTCTGAAGATGGAGTCAACGACGATTCGACGCTGTAGACAATCACTCCAAGAACCAGGAATATAGTCATTACTTGATTCATCTGTAGAAGAAAATGATAAATAGTTAGTTCCGTATTATTATGAATTCAGAAAGAAGGTTCATATCCTGTTGCCAGATTATGTTTTCATTCGATTTATGAGTTTGGGATCAAATGAAGATTTCGATGGGAAATTCAACTTCTCGCAAAATAGTTCCGTCATTTTGCACTAAACGTTTTCCAAGCACTGCTCTCCGTTAAAGACCCATTGCCACTTACCGTGATGCATCACAATTTGTTTACATTTTGAATCGTGTCACCACTGAAAAAACAATTCTAACCTTTTGAATAAACTCTTAAAAGAATGTAAAAGAATCATTATTGTGCCTTAGTGCTATGTCGGAAAAGGATTTAATATCAAGTTATTATTCAATATATGAATCTTTGAATTTTATGGACCACGAAATTCATCTGTGACCGCGGTGCATCACGGTAAGTGGCAATGGGTCTTTAAATCCCGTTCATAACAGATAGTAAGGACCCTGTTTACGCGGTCGTCTTTCGCTCGCTTGTTAGTTTTTCGCGGCTTGGGGAAATAAGAGAAAAGAGAAAAGAAATGCCTGGGCTGGAAACATAATCAACAAGAAATCCCTTCTTTTCCAGAGTTTACAAGCATGTGGGTCCGTGTACCTTCAATCAATTTGATTTTAGAAAAAATACTACAAAAATTACTACAAAAATTACTACAAAAATTACTACTACGGACATTACTACAGATATTCCCCATAGATTCCTTTGTAATACGCTACAAGTACATTGCTTGGGTTTCCTGTGGTAAAAACAGTTACAAAATGCCTGGATGAAAGTGCCTTTGACGACCCATCCATTATTGTGCACAGCAAAGTGCTTGAACACAGTACTTGGTTGTATATCATGTTTAAATGATTGTACTACAGTGGTAGTGGTGGGGCTCTTGGGGGCTCTTCGATGATAGATATTTTCCAAATTGCCGAGAGCCTGGAGTTCAATGCCAAGACATACGGCCAGCTAGGCTTTATAGGTTTCTGATTGGGCCATCAGCCGACCAAGGTGATCAAACTCCTCGTGTAATTGGCCGGCAGTCAAGGTTTTTCATTAATATTTAGCAATGAATCACAGATCCTATCGAATTCAAACTACCCAAAAACTTCATTCCCATGGGCTAAGCGAACCCGACAAACTCTAGGTTTTATTTTCTTACGTTTCGTTGATGCTATAGGCATAGAATACTAAGAAAGGTTTGGTAGCATTTAATAAAACTCTTACCTTGAATAGAGTAGTACACTTGTAGATATAGTAGCTGAACTTGGTAGGAAATTCGACAGAATGATGCTCAAGAGCAACGCTTTAAATAGCTGACTTTGTAACGTAGATCTACCTTCCACACCATATATTGCTCGTCGGTGTGCAAACTACAAAGACTTTAAAGCGGTGTTTACTGAATGAGAAAAAGGACAATCGGAAGATAGGTTCGCTGACTGGATCTTCTTCTCAACTAACAATATTGTTTCGGTATCTGCATGCTCTATTGTCACTTTGCGGTGAGAAGAAAGAACGCAAATGCAAGTTCTTTCTCGATCCATTCGTGATTTATTTTCTGTCGCCCATTCAAACTCTCCAATCAACACGTCTACACAAGAGAAATTTCCGAGTAAAACACGATTCCATTTCTATTTTCTGCATATTTTAGGAAGCACTTGAGAAAGACATGTTAGCCCAAGGTCGTGATGTGGGTAGGATCCCGTAATCCCGAGAATTGTTCTTCCAGTTTCCCGAATCACGAGGGAAAACCCCCAAACTTCGAAAAAAGGCCCAAAGGACTTGTGCGCATTGCTCAATGCTCGATAATCATCCCACATCGAACAGCAGAATACAAATATCTTATGAGAAGTAAGTTTCTACTGTTCTGTTGTTCGTTCACTCATCAGAACAGACTGGTAAATTTTTAATATTATCTTTTTGTGTGTGAGTGAATTTGAATTTGAACTCTGTACTAAGATATACATGTACTTTCGATTATTATTCGTGCAAAATCCGTAATCAGACGACGTAAAGACAAGTGAGAATCATTTGAATATCGATCTTCTAACATGTTGGTGAGTGAGTGAGTCGAGACAATGACATATCCAAACCACTCACACAAAAAAAACCGTTCCAAAAAAACACAGCTATTTTCCAAATCACAACAGAGCCTGGATCTAGAATTGATTTAAGAAATGTAGTCTTGTCTAAGGCTTAGCCAGTCGGAGTAGTCTCCCTCGCAGCCGGTTTTGGAGCGAGACTAAAAACGGCTGCGGGGGAGACTACTGTCGGAGCGGACCACAAGGGAGTCTGGGACTAGACTATAGTCTCAGTCATAAAGGCTATTTTGTAAAGATGCCTTTTTATACCGAACACTTGAAGTTTCATGAAAAATTTTCTGTAAAAAGATAAATACTGAGTTGAAACGTGTTTATTTTTTGCCCTTATTGTATTGGCCCTTTTCCAGAGACAATTCTTCTCGGTTATTTTCAACTCGTACCGCACGCTACTGAGTTGGACATCAATAGATATAATAAATAAATAATAATAAATAAATAATGGGATTAACTATGGGTTCCACAGAGTGGCTCTTCTTCTTCTGGATTCAAATTGGAATTTAGGAGTTGATTTTAACGGACAGAGGAAAACCAGATAACCTGGAAAACCCTACCCTTCGAGCAGAGTTTTTTTTCTGACCCTTCTTGGAGCTGGCTGTCGGGGAGAAAAAATATTTTTTATATTTCTTAAAATATTTTTATATTTTTCTCCCCGACCGCCAGCTCGAAGGAGGGTCAGAAAAGAAACCCTCTGCTCGCAGGGTAGGAAAACCCTCGTAGCACATGAGAGAACCAACAAGCAACTCTACTCACATACGACATCGAGCCCGGCGGGATTTCTTGTTTTATCAGCCTATTGGAATAATCCTAAAATATTTAAACCTTTTTAGATTCATTTTATTAAATTATGAGTACCATGACAAGTATTACAAATACATGTTTTAATTACATATATATCTGACTAATATATTTTTTCACTTCGCCAAGAAAATGTCTTATCCATAATTACATGTGACTTTTCTTCTGAATGAGTCTGTGATTCTTGACTTCTTGATAACCATTAAAATATTCATTAACTTTCTTTAAAACTAATTTTCTCATTCTGTTAGAGTTAATATCCTAGTCGTAGTCTTCGTCTTAAGTCGATAACAGATTCAGGGACATAGCTTCTTTTTCTCGAGCAGTTTTTAGTACAAGCACTATATTTTTTGAGGCATACGCCACAGGATGCTTTGTCGTAGCAGGACGTTGACATTTGACAAGAGGAATAAGCGCCAAAACAGTCATCCAGACAATCTTTGTCCATAGATTCGACACTACAGATTATCACTCCAAGAACCAGGAATATATTTATTAGTTGATTCATCTGTCGAGAAAAATGATAAATAGTTAGTTCGATATCATGAAAGCCAAAGGTTCAAAATAGTATCGAGATTATGATGAATTTTAAAGACAAAGGAAGGTCGAAAAGCGAAGGAAAGTAAAAAATAAAAAAATAAAAAAAAATAAAAAAATATAAAAAAATAAAAAAATAAAAAAAAATAAAAAAATAAAAAAAAAAGAAGAAGAAGAACTATAGTAATAGAAAGGAAAAATATAGAAAAACAAAAATATTTCCGTTTTAAATTGATTATCCTTCTTATTTATTGCAGGAATTACCTCCGACTATTTGTATTTCTATAATTACATTTTATCCACCTCTTTTCCGTATACCTACCAGAGGACCCCTTGAGCATCAACAAGCCTCTTTCTAGTCTACGATAATATCTACCCATCCGGTAGCGTGCACTTACGAGTAAATCTTTCGACTTTCCATGATTAAATCGAAGCTATTTCTTATCTTTCACTTTAAACTAGAATGCTTTATGATTCAGATGGCTTTTATGGCTTTATATTCAAGATCCGGATAAGGATGACAAAGATCGTTATAGAGGTCGTAAAACAAATATCCGAACAAGATATCACCAGGAAATAACTGAAAAGATTTAAGATCAGGTCGCGAAAGCGCGCGTTTTTAAAGAAATAACGTGTTTTCATAGTAAATAAAATTATTTATATCTTATAATGATGATATTTGATAAATACAATCGTTTTTCGTATATAGGGTAGATAAACATTACTAGAAAATTTCTCGTATTTTTTAACTCCATCTTCTGAAAACTTGATTGCCAAATTGGCTTGTCTTCTCATTTGCCGTCGTAGCTGATATCCCGAATGATCAGTGAAGTTATATAGGTGAAAACAACTGTAGTTAGCACCTTAAAACATTTCCGAATAGTTGGGTTTCTAAATGTATAGTTTAATTAACAGCTGTTAAGGAAGCATAGTTGTATTCAATGCATGATCGTGAACATCAAGTTCAGGACTTTTCGTCTTAGATTGACGAAAGCAACTAAAGCAATAAGTGGAATTAACTTAGAATATGTTCAAATGCAAATCTGAAAAACCAAAAAAATCTGCTTTTTTCATCTTTTTTCTTTCATTCTTTCTCTTTTCCTGCATCCTTCCTTTTACGATACACGAACTATTTTATTATATTTAGGCCAGAAAAAATGTGCTTTGCCGACAGTAAAATTGTGCAGTTCTTTTTTCCTTCTCTAAGTTGTGTTGCTATAGGAATCGCCGGAATATTTTCAAGGGAATAATGATTTTTCTCTGGCACGAGTCGAGGAAATTATGCTAAAAGCATCATTCCCGATGTTTTGATATCCATGATTACATCATTTCTTCTAATTAGAAAATATAAATGAATCCATTCATGGTTTGTACCAGTTTTTTAATTTTTCAAGGCGAAATTGTTCGAAACACTTCGATATTTTAGACTAGTTAAAACGAAGCTCGGCGATGCCGGATCTTCATCCAATCGTCTCTGGCTGTCAATAATCCTTAGTATTTATCTAATTTACGCTTAAATTCCGTACTGCTGTTTCTAAACAAACAGAAATACTGATTAAACTCTTCTCTTCTTTCAATTCCCGGCGTTTGTCTCGAACTATTTACTCAAAGCGCAAACGAGCCGCCGTTTCGCCGAGTAATGGCTTATTCAAATGACAGATTTTTATCGTAACTGATAATTAATCTAAAACGCTTTCGAGCTGGGCTTTTTAAATTAAGAAGGTGGTAATTTCTCCTTTAGTACCATTGTATAATAACTCAGCACTCTCTGTCCCCCGGCAGTGAAAAGTAAAAAACAAGGGCTAAAAAAGGCTAATTAATATAAACTTTGCCAGCTGGTGAAAAATTGAAGCTTTCGACTATTCCACTCTTGGTCATGTCAAAATCATTATCAAATGAACGTTATTTTCTCATGTTAATATTTCAAGTATCATTGTACTTTTAAGTTTCTTGCCTTCTATTAAAGAAATTTCTTTTCTTCAATATTTTTAAGGCCAACTCGATTTTTGATAAATATAATAAAAGACGTTGAATAGAATGAATTACAAGTCATGTAAAGCTTAACTAATGAAATTTTCAGTAAAAAGGTAGATATAGTAAATGGAATTTCATTTTTTCAGGAATGGAGAATAAGGAAGGCCAGGTTTTATAAAAATGAGAAAACCATTTCAATGCTTGCAATGCCAGATAATAAAGAACGTCGTATACCCATTTTCGAAACATCCTGAAACTACTTATCCTCTTCATGATCTTCCGAGAAAACTAAAAAGAAAATTTCACTTTTTCAGGGGTGGAGAGTGGGGACGGCCGAGTTTTATGGGAAAAAATCCTTTTTAACCTCGGAAATGAGAAAACCATTTCAATGCTTGAAATGCCAGATAGTAAATAACGTCGTATATCCTTCTCAAAACATCCTGAAACTACTTCTCCTTGTCTTTATGAGCCGGCATGAGTTATCTAATAATGTACTTTATGGAAAATAGTTTTCGATCGGATTATGTAATATATCAAGTAAACACTTCTTCATCAATTGATTCAGTCACGATCGCAGCAATTACTTATATAAGCGAGTAAAAAAAATGATTCATCTAAGCTGCTTTATTTTTTATATCAGTAAACTCAATAAGTGGGATTAATAACTTAAGTAATGCTCCCTGATTAAATCGAGAAGATTTTCTTTTTTATTGAATGTGATTGTTCTTCAACCGCTAGTGCTTGTGTTATACCCTTAGGATAAGCCAAGCGTCTTGTTGCTTGTCGCTTCGTTGACAGTTCCTTTGGCTGTTTTAAACGATTTTGGGATTTTCCCTTTGATTGGTGAACGCCGGCATGATTATGATGGTCTTTGCAGATGGAAGGACAGGTGTTATCGATACTTTGCAAAATTATCTCATCATAAGATGGATCTTACTGTTGCTAGCTTCTGGGCTATAGTCCACCCCACTTTTTGTGTGCTTTATGAAAGAATGACGATACGATCAGCCAAAGCTGATCTGATATCTTTCCTTACTGTATTTTGTCTATACGCTTTCTAAACTGCATGCTTAGCAGAAATATTAAGAATTATAGGCGAGAAAGATGGAATACAAAATAGAGGTAAAGAAAGGAAGAAAAAATAGCGAAAGGAAAGAAAAAAGTCGAGAGATATAATGAAAGGAAAGAAGGACGAAAGGAAGAGAGAGAGAGAAAAAACAAAAGAAAAACGAGACGTAGTTTTGCTGTAATAATCTTTCCAATATATATAATATGCATGAGCCAGTTTTAATCAACTCCACGCCAGCCATTTCGCACTATTGTAAAGACCTGTCCCTAAATTTGACGCTAAATTATTTCCACACACCAAGCTAGCTACCCCTACACCTTTGATTGGCAAATATTCCACAAACTATGCCTCATTAAGTGCACTTTCTTTAATTGATGAGTCATCTTAAACCTGGATTCTCCTATTATCCTTGTACTTTTAACATACCTATAATTTTTAATTGCGCGGTGCATCACTCATCCTTAAAGATTATATACTTAGTTCCTTAAATAATCTGCATGTCTAGTTCACTAGGGATTATCTCTCTCGAAACACATTTATATTCTTCTATAAAACTTTTATTTTAAGAAAACTTAGAATTGTTGTTGTCTACTCCATTTTCCCTTTCCCTTTATTTCTTATTTAGATTTTTCTTCTTTTTTCTCTTACATTTATAAAATTCTTTATTTGTTGCTGTTTTCCTCTTTCTATTTATTTTTCCGGATTTTCTTCTTACTTAAAAACTTTCCCATTAATTCCTTTGTTTTCTCATTTAGTCCTTTTAGTCTAGTCTTTTTTTTTTTTCTTTTTCTTTGTTGTATTTTCTTCGATTTTTATTTCTTATTGCTCAGATTTATTTCCGAATGAAAAAGATCAAACTTTCTCACTTAAGTTTCTTTGTCGCAACTTTTTTCTTGTCGTATATATATTATATCCTACACATACAAGCAGACTTGTTTTCTATGAATTATGATAACTATCACCTGGCGAAAAAAGTCGCATTTTACTCTTTCCTTACTTGTGTCGGTATTAGAACGAATTTAACTCTGGCCTTCAGGGCTCGCTTTCTGTTTGGTCAGGCTTTTCATTTATTGATCTTCAATCAGAGTTAGTTTCGTCGCTTTATCGGCAAAATAAAGTCCACAGGGTTAATCTACAGCTATACGAGACGGAATCCGAATCGTTTCGGCGCCTAGTCTATGAATCATATAACACGAAGGCGTCGCAGTTCTAAACGGAGCATAGTGAAGAGTCAAGTTATCCAATTTACATACTCTGTTTCTCCCCGGAAGAGAGACTTCAGCGCGTGGAACTTAAATTGGATATGAGGCTAGCTCAGCGTTGGCGGTCACTCAGTCTATATATAACTTCTACATACTTATTTCAATCGTGTTTAAAACAGGAGATGACAATTCAACTTTCATAATGTTCTTTTTTCCTTGCTATCGCAGTTCCGACAAGTTGCAAACTTGGCTAAGCTCTTAAAAGAAAAAAAGTCATTTTAGATAATCTCGATATCGTCGTCTTTTGTCTTTTGGACACCAATCAGTTTGTTTTGGCTCTGAGCGTAATTCCTTTCTCAAATAAAAACCAAGCTGTTTTTCAATCAATATCGATTCTAATTCAAGCTCATCGACTCGCTTTCCGGGCGTTGTTCTTTGTAATTGTAAGAAGTTTATTAGCGCTATATAGCTAAGTAACAGTACTAACAGCTAAGTTGAACTCCACGTTTTTACAATTACATATGCTCTTCAAATGCCCAAAGAATTTCAAATATATCGCAAAAAACTCTGTCTGTGAAAAGCGACATTTGGGTGACGCAAACCGCTCCCAGGAAATGTTCATCCTATCAAAATTTCCCGTAGATTCCAGTCAGATGGCTCCAATTTCTGGACACGCGTAATTCCGACAGAAAAATATGCGAAAAATGTTTTTAAGAAAAAGACGAGTCGGCTAATGACAACTTTTATTTGTAGGCCATTGGAAAAATAGTCAGTTTTTTTTGCACTTCACATTTCTGGGGGAATTTTGAACGGGAAAAGGGAAAAGTATATATGTTTTTGGAGCGTGATGATACTGATAATGGTATAGTTAGTGACAGAACGGCTGTTTATCAAGAAGGACTTCAAGTTTACGGAACGAATTTATATCAATTCAAAATCAACATTTTCAATTGTCTTTGTCAGTATAACTCGAGTCAATCGTCTGGTGGCGATCTTTAGGCCGCGTCTTCGCGTGGTCGTATTGAAAAATGATTCGATCATTTTGGTTCAATTTCGAGTTACAATTACGCAAAAAAAGAAAAAAAAAACACTATAAAACTTACTTTAAAAACGGGAAAATAAAAGCATAGTAGTTAAGGGAAGCTTCACGATGATAAACGTTTTAGTTTTTTTCTACGCATACCTACCGTTCATTGTTGTCAAAACAGCAATTGATTTCGTCAAAATAATTTTGAATTTGCCGTCGTCAATAATAACCAAAGTCAGCGTCATCGCAGGAAAAAAAAATTTAAACCTCGTTACATTATCAAATAGCTGTTTGTTTTTAAAAGATAAGTCTTGTAACTTTCGCTTTAAGAGCTTAAGAAGAGTTACCTTTGTTGAATTTGTCCCTTGTCGAGATGACTTTACCACAGTGTTTTAGTTTATGAAGATTTCCCGCTCTACTCTTGGTCTATATAAGGTGAATTGGCTTAGAATTACGTCATCGGAAAACAATAGCATACTTTATACTAGAAGTAGGTGCACGCTAATAGATTGATTGAGCTCCCGATTCATGTATTTGCTTAACTCAAATAGAAGGAAGTCATTATTAAATTTTACAACCCATTTTAGTGCTATTTTTCGAGGTTTTATTGCCGGTTTTACACAGGTGACAAGATATAATGGATTTTTTTCTTACAAAATCGAAAAACGTAATGATATTCCTAAATTATTTCCTTTTGTAATTTTGGATTCTTTATTTCTTTACAGTTTTGAAAACATGCCGGAAGAAATAACTTTGGGCATTAGATTAAGTTTAAGAAAGCACATGCTAAAGAAAGGTTTCCTCTGTCTGAGACACAGTTATTTTATGATTTGTGGTTCAACGCAAGCACTCATTATCTAGTAAAACACTTATTTTTTTGTGAATTTTATCCCATCGGGGAGTCGATTGGCTACCGATCTGAGCATGCGCCATGACTGTATTCATTCACCCCTTGAAACTAATACGCGTCGAATTTCTTCTATTACAAAATTCCACTCCCGTCTCGTTATTTTTGAAACCTTATATTTGAAACCAGAAAAATTTCAATAACCATAGATAAAGCTAGAGTCAAAAAGGACTAATGAGTCTCAATTGTTAATGGCGGGAAAACGCGGCCGTTCATGGCGCGAAATAAGGCTTTTGATGTCACGTGTTACAAAAGATATATAAAATTAGGTCATTCAAAATGGGGATGAAACTTCCGCTACTTTTGGTTCAAGGGAACAGACTTTTAGGTTAATGAGTTGTGATAAATTGAATGATAATATTGATAAAAACAGGATGAAAAGAAAGATCGTTAAATCAGCAAAATATCCTATATTAGTCACAGTAGACAGTTGAAACTCGAAGCAGCTTAATCCAAAATATTTCAATATAAAAATTTGTATTAAAGATCACAATTATTATTATTTGCGAGTATTATTGCAATGAAATTGTAACGAAGTGTAGAGTAAATTAGCAGGAAAGAACAAATCCGCATCTCATTTCCCAAGAAAAACTGTGAAAAGCATGGCGACTCAAGAGAAAATCCATGGTCGGTTGTAATTTTAACATTTAATCACACACCCTCGCGTGTGACGTACTGGTCAAAGACGTGTTGCCTCGATTAGCGAGCGGACATCCAATCAGTTCGAATTCTTGTGGGCGTTTGTAACATCCACACCTCAACGACACTTTGATGATTTCACGACTACGTATGTCCTGAAGCAGGTCGATTTGTCTTGATTAAAGCACTTATTCTTTAGAGGTATCAAAACGCAATCGAAATCATCTATCTTCGTCAAAGACGTTTCGAACTGTCGCATTTAGGGAAAGACTGTTTGATAATCGCGTTCAAGCTAAACAATTGGATTTGCGATTTTTTGTGCGAAAATGCCGTATCTAAATTAGATCGTATTTGGAACTCGTGGGCTGGGAATGCGCCTGGAGTTAGATTAATTTTAGTATCACAAGCCAAAAAAAACATAGGTTCATGTCAGTACATATGGTTTCGTTTGTTCCTGAACTGGGGTAACTATTATTACTATAATTTGTTACGTTTATTCATTATCAAATAAAATAGGAATAAAATAAGTGGTGAAAAGAGGGGGAAATGTCATTGAGTAGATTATATTCTTGGTTAGTGCGTCTGACTAGCAAACAGATTAGGTCACGAATTCAAATCCCGCCTCGAGCTCGGATTTTTTTCGAATAAAAATTTGCTTGATGAAATGTAAATAAAGATCTTTAAGAAAAAATGTTATTCATATTGTATTAGGTCATAGTTGACTCCTACTACTAGGCTACTGAATCTAGAATGCATAGTCAAATGACGTTGGGCTTTGATCGTTATCTCACAACCATACGCTTTTCCAGCCAGCTTTCCTTCCTGGCCTTGGACGCACTCATTCTTTAAAATCCAATCAAGAGATGACTAATTTCAGATACCTATTTTCTGTAGTGATATAGACAACCTGTAGTGATATAGACAACATATTGTATAGTTAACTGGATGTCCACAAATAGGTGGTGAGTTACCATATAAGTGATAGAGATAAGCGATGCTCTGACTGACTTGTCGCACGTCTTTTGTACGACTTTCATAAATAGCTGTTGCTAATTAACATAAACGTTAAAAATTAAAGTTTTTGAAGTGAAAGCCCTCATTAATCATCAAACTTGTTGATTTAGATATTGTGTGAGAGTTTCTAATTTAAGGAATTAATCCTTGACAAGATATGGGCATTTGAAGTGTTGATAATGCATCGAAACAAGGCCACAATGGCTTCCATCCAGTGATAAATACGTACAAAACTCTATTTTCGATTTCTCATAACTTCTTTGGTATTCAGTCAAATTTAACAGAATTTTCTGGAAATAGTTTTCATGCAGTACTTTCGCAAATAGCATTAATAGTTTCTAATAAAAAGGCCTCATTTTCTCTATGAAAGTCGTGTATACCGTATGGCTCCATTTGCGCAGTTCAATTCATCGTGCCGGGTTAATTCAATAAACACTTTCTCCTAAATTTCGAAAAGCTCACTTTGCGTGCCTCGAGCTCAATAAACTCTAAACAGGTTATTTTGGGACTGTAACACAACCATTAGGACTTCATATCAACCTTCGTTGGTTTCCCTTGTATCGGCGGATATCAGATATAAGGACGACACTCGATATAACCTTTTAAACTATCTTAAAAACTGCCTAGTAAAGCTCCGCCTATATACCATTAGAACTCATATAAACGTTTTATATGTACACATAAAGCCGCTTCGATCCTTTTTATACGTGCATGCCGCAAGTTGAGTAAATCAGGTTGGCTAACCGGTAAGGGAGAGCAGCGCTCATCGCATATTTCAACCGAATCTCTACTCCCATGCATGACTCATCATGCGTTAGGAGTTTTCTATACTTGTTCTTTTCTCAACTCGGTACTTCAATATTTTTTCCTGGTTTTTCCTTTTGTTTTATCCTCGAAGCTAAATCTTCTAAATTTCTAGATATTGCTGTAAATAATGAATTATCACTGCTGCCCCCGTCTATTTCAAGTAATATTTCAAAGCCTCCAATATCGGACTGGACGGGAATTCAAGTCCAAACAATTAGTTCCAGTCCGAGGAACTAATTGCGTGGACTTGAAATCCCTTCCTGTCCGATATTGGAGGCTTTGAAATGACTTCTCATGCTCATTAATTATTCGACTCGGAGTAGCTGGAACAAAATTAATTCAGTCCTAGGATTGAATTAATTTTGTTCCAGTTACTACAGACTGAATTCAGTCCTTTCACAGGACTTTACCAGGTTTCAAGCAACATCATGTGACCCAAAAATAGCCCATAAATTGGCTGGTTTCCTCATGAATCATTAATGAGTATGAGAATCAAATTTAATTTGTTTTTTTTTTAAATATCCACGCTTAGTCTCAGTCTAGTATTGTGCTTCCCTCGTCAAAGTGGTTTAGTTATTTCCCAACATGTTGAGCCTCAAGTGTGGAATCTTTTTTTAATACTTATTTGTTTAATAATTTATAGTGATTATGAGTGGCTAGTTACTGTATGTGTAATCCTTTGCAATCTTAACTCTCTACTGCCTTCAATAAGCCACATATTTTTGTTGGGTTTTAAGTAAAGTTCAATGACTGGGAGATTAATACTGGGCTCGTAGGCGCAGCTCGAGTAGTTTGTAAGTACGCTATGGAGTCAAGCGAAGGATTATACTAAGTTTGGTGCTAAGATGCCAGAATCTTGAATGACACATTTTCAAAAGCATTTTGTTAAAAAGGACGGAAATACAAGATTTAGATAGCATGTGCGATTCAATGCATGTATAGTCTTTAGGATCTTACTTCTTATTTCTGTTATTGATATCAGTGACTTGAAGCTTAGACTTAATAGCCCTGTTCCAATTTATCTTATCTTTCCGCTATCGATTTCCTGTATCCTGCCATCCATTTTATCTTAATTTTACGCTTCACTAATTGTTTCTCGGTCTTAGTTATCATTCATGATTATTTGTGGACAAGAGCGCGGTTTTTTCCCCCTCTATTCTCGGCCTGATATTTTATTTATTTATTCAGTAGTAGTTTTGGAAAGTTGTGTCTTTTTTTAGTACATAACGCCGTGTAGAAACATGTAAAATTGTGAGCAATTGTGAAGGCAATATCGATCGCGATCAGGACTCTAATTTTGCGTGACAAATTCTGGTAAATGCAGCTGCCAATTTTCAGAAAACCTCAATAAATGAACAGAAACACTTTTACTTATCTGATCTGGATGGGAATAGCTAGACGATATCGCTTCTCCCAGCCAGAACGAATTCGTAGCCAATCAGCGAATATTTGTTCGTTAGCTGAATATTTCCTAATTCCCGTGATGCTTTAGGCTCCATAGATAAACAGCTGTTGTTAAAGCTCATACGTGGAAGGATTCATCAAATATCTTTTAGGAATAGTATTTTTCGTCGTTATTGATGGAAAATATTCTATTTTGACGAGAGATAATAGAAAATACTTGGAAATAGTTGCGCGCCTAGATTCCAAATCACCTGGCCTTTTTATATTGATGACTAAGATGGAAAACCATTACCTTAGACTTTCATAGTGTCATATATCAAATTAATTGGCTAGAAACTTGTACTTTTCTATCAAACGTATTCTTGAGTATTCTTGTGGTGGAATAACATGACTCAAAGCTTCTTTAATGAATAAAAAAATCCTTGATATGAATAACAATGAAATAGCGATCATGGTAGTTGATCTAAAAATAGAAGCTAATCAAGAATGCTTCGTTATCATCAACCAGAATGACGTAACATGCATCCCAGGACTTCGAGACAATTATACTATCTTACCCTCCCCCCCAAAGAAACGTCTCTTTTTTTCCACCTTTCTTTCGCTCCCAAAAATGAATTTCCAGAGGTTTTGTCGATCCATCTTTTCTTCTTTTTTGGTAAACAGTTAATTTACCAAGTTTTTCTAACTTTCCTTTCAACGTTTTGTCTTGTTTTTCTTTCAAAATTTTCCAAATATTTTCTTTCTTCAGCATCAGTGCTTTTAAAACAATTAATTAACATCAAATATGCTTTTAATATTTTCTACAAATAAATATTAAACCTGGCAGATAATTCATATATCTTCTGTTTCGAGAACATTCCATATCCTTTTTAATTCATTTTAGGTTTAGACTTGCTAGTTGTTCGTTTGCTTTGCTCGAAAGTACTGAACTGTGAAAAAATAGCAACCGTTTTTCTCGTACAAAGTGAATTAATTTAGATATTTTCAAGCTGCACTTTGAAAGCCAATAAGTCAAGAAAACGCCAACATTTTCAAATGTTATTACTGAGTTCTATTTCCTGCCTTTTGCGTGGTATTTCTTGATAATTAAAAATTTATATTCTCTTTGTTAATTACGAGTTTAATCAACATTATCAGTGATTCAGTTATTGATTAATTTGAAAAGTTAATAGAAAACATTTCAGCGCACGCAAACTTACCTTGGCTGCTAGTAACTCTTCCTTCGTGCTTTAAGTTTCCCTGATATTGAAATTACGAATTTTACTTTCACTCTTCGTGATTTATGGGGCTTAATTTGAAAGAATATTTTAGATGTCAACTCAATTGCCTAAGTTTGAAGTGGGTCTTTGGCTTAATTATTCAATTAGTCTGACACCACATGTAGAAATTACTTTGTTGTTTTCCTAACTCACCTTGGCAGATGTATGAATTTTGCCCTTTTACGTCGCGTCACTTGACGTTGACTGTGGCAAAGCTCCGGCTTGTAAGGAACTTAAAATATTTTTTGTTTAGCAATATAATGACCGTTATTTAAGCGGATATTGGACCTCACGTGACATGGGTTTAAGTGTATACACTCAGCATTTCCTGTTTATGACCGAATGAAATAAATGTAAAAGGTACCTAATTTCGTTTTTTTTTTTTTTTTTTTTGTAAATGTAATTAAATGTAAACTTTATTTAACCAGGGAGGCACGATTCATCTTCGAAGCTGGTATCCAAAGGGCCCTGCAATATTAGGCATGGTTGCACACGGCTTCATTAATAAGAATGGTTTTCGCATTTGAATTCTTGCAATAATACCATGAGTGCGTGACATATGATCGTTTCATGAACGGAATGTTGGGGTCACGCAATTTTGGCGCGCTTCGAAGTTTCGTTATGTTCTTTCCTGATGTCGTCCCTCCCTTCCTCTATACAATAATAAAAGACGAAAAACTTACGTTTAAAATTACGATGCGTTTGTTGAATATTTTATTACGTATACACTCAATTGAAGAATCGTTGTCGGGTTCAGAAACATATAACATAGAAGCTGAGACCGAAATGGCACATGTGAAGTACGTTAATTTAGATGCATGCTGTGACCGGCGAACCGTGGCATCATCCACTGTTTTTAATACGTTTGGTATTGTAAACCGACTGCATGGATGGCGATAAATGAATAAATTATAATATAATTAGATGCATTTCCCATGTGCCATTTCGGTCTCAGCTTTTATGTTCTATGTTTCTGAACCCGACAACGATTCTTCATTTGAGTGTATGTGATAATGATATCTAAAGTCAAGGTGATGCTTTCCATTTCTTAACTGCATAGGGGATGACGCTGTTCTGGAAACGTTTAGTTCTACTTTTAATCAGTGGCATTTTCCTTGGGTTACTTAAAGAGTATACTGATTCGCTTATTGGTTGGTAGGACATCATTCTAAATACATATCTGTTTTCTAGTCCAACCTAGTAAGGTCATTTTCTGTCTAGAAACCACATTCCTATTTTCAAGCATTGAGAATGTTTTGTGTGTGACGCTTTTATGTGTGCGTTTGTTATGTGTATTCGTATTGGGTATCCTGTGGTAAGAAAATGAAAGAGAGAGGACTAGTGATACGCTAGACCCATTTTTTCCCCAGTATATTGTCTGCGACACAGGAATACCAACCCCAGATTTCTCATTATCTTTCTGCGCATGACATTGATATACAAAAAAACTATCGATCTACAATGGTCCATCTTCCTGACGTATATGGTCGCTCTAATTCGACCAAAGGTTTATAAATTATTCAAGTTTTTGAAGCTTTTCAATAAACAAGCAGGTCGTGTGTTTTCAGGTCTATAACTACGGCTACGCCCCGTGCTTTTATAACTGATAAAACACCACCGGCTCGTAATATCCTTGGTATAGCAACAACAACGAATAACAATAAAACAAAAAAATTTTCACAAACTACTTTATTTTATTGGTAGAATAATTATTTTACATTACTTTTCGATTCTTCCAAGTCATTCCTATCTGTAATTCTAAGTAATTAATATGTGTCCGCATCTTGGGCGACGTCGACTGAGATGGCAGGGTTGGATGGCAGACTGCGCGTGTTAAACTTACAGCGTGTGAAACAAGTTCTAAACTGCTGTCTACACATGTTCATGTCACACCCTAAAGTACTTCCCACTGAGCACTGACGTAACAAACAAGGGGTATAGACGTTTCCCTGACACGTTGAATAGCAGTCGGCGTGGCTGATGGTTACCATGGCGACGAGGATAAGAGCCAACGTCATGAGAACGACTTTTGTTAGACTGAGCATCTGTTGAGAGATGTGAAGGAGATGGGAATAATAGAGAAATCAGTTTTAAAGACACAGAACACAGCAGTAGAGCGGTGTCATTAAAAGTGTACCTTTGCCATTGTGACTGAATTAATTACTGAAAGATAATGGGAAGCCATTTTGATGTTAAGGCATGTAGTACCGTGTACGTGCAGTAAGTCAGTATGCACGTTTCCCACTCCGATCACATGATAATCATTCCTATGGAAAGCCATTTCAGTATTACGGTATCCCGTACCGCAGTGAACGTGCTGTAATTAATTCCGTATTAATGTATGATTCCCACTTAAACGATAAACATTTCTATGGGACACCATTTCAGTGTTACGTTTCCTACTTATACGATAAACATTTCTATGGGACACCATTTCAGTGTTACGTTTCCNCTTATACGATAAACATTTCTATGGGACACCATTTCAGTGTTACGTTTCCTACTTATACGATAAACATTTCTATGGGACACCATTTCAGTGTTACGCTTCCTACTTATACGATAAACATTTCTATGGGAAGCCATTTCAGTGTTACGTTTCCTACTTATACGATAAACATTTCTATGGGAAGCCATTTCAGTNTATGGGAAGCCATTTCAGTGTTACGTTTCCTACTTATACGATAAACATTTCTATGGGAAGCCATTTCAGTGTTACGTTTCCTACTTATACGATAACCATTTCTTGGGAGCGGCCATTTCAAGGCTACGGTGGGTCGATCGTACCGCGGTGTCATGCTGTAATTCGCTCTACGGGAAGAAATATAGTGTACAAGTTTCTAAAATTTTGGATGTTTGCACTGAATACTTTATCGGGAAACAAAAAAAGATCTATTTTTGGATATTCGGTCTTTGAATTTTTGTTCGTTTGTTCTCCTTCAAGACGGTGCGCACATTTCGGTCTTGCGTCAATCTACATTTTTTGTTGTTGAGTTTTTGAGGCTTATAATCTATCAAATGGGTCATAACACATTCTACATTGAAGTTTAAATGTTATTTGCAATATTTGCATTTTTGGTTTTTGAATACACTGAAGTCTAGTCTTCTGCTCTTTACTGCTAAACAAAAGGAATGGCAATCTCGTACCCCGAGCCTGCGTTTCTTCTGGCCCGTGGCGATGAACGAGGGTTCTGGCATAATCCATTTTTTGGCGCATGCGTAGTTTTCCGGAAGTGAAATATAATCAATGAAAATCATGCTTTCAAACAGAGTACTGTGTTTACTTCCGATCAAAATAAAAATTAGAAATCGGGAACATGATTTTAATTTAAAAATTTTTTTAAAGTCTTTAAACGCATCCGTTCTTATACAGGATATCCAATAAATCCTGGTCTCAAAAAATAGAATATACCAAACCCTCGTTCTTTGCCGCAGGCCAGAAGAAACGCAGGCTCTAGGTACGAGATTGAAGGAATGGCAGCTCAAGAACTATTACGCATGCGCAGTTAGAGGCGTGCACTGCACGTGCCCACTCTTAATTTGGTTCTGCACGTTTACCAGTTGGGTTCCCTGTGTTGCTACTTTGTCGAGTAAATCGGTAAGCTGGTGCTTATGTTAAAGCAATGCTGATCTCTGATTGGCTGATTTACGGTTTCTTGATATGTTCGATTACAGGACTAACATGGTGTCGTTTCGGTTCGGAATATACTGTGTGGAGTAATCCTCCCCAGATGTTAGCTGATGCAACATTCCGTACGAAAACAGATTTGAAACGATCTTTTATTGAAGTAAATTATTCGAACACATCTCTACAGAAAGATTACATTGGCTTGATTGCATTGCATTTGTTTCATTTTTTTTCCTTAACATTATTATTATATCATTATTATATTATTATTTATAAGATCTTGAGATATTCCTAGGCCGCCATGTTGGCGCGGATTTCTCTGGTTTTACGTAAACATTTTTGCAAGCAATCAACAAGCTCTTCCCTGCACGCGCCGACGTCCTCGATATTCACGCCCCTTGAAAGGAAACAGCCGGTGTAGTCTCCCCGACAGCCATTCGTACAACTAGAGCCTTCACCAGTATGGACAGTCACCATGACAACGAGAACAACCACGATTAGGCTCTTGAGGAATTCCATCTGTGGTAAAAGGTTGGATGGCAAAGATGAAGATACTTTTCTCTTGTTTAGTTCGCATTATCACCCAGTTACAAGAACTATTAGCCTAGGCTGACTCGAGACGCCATGCGGTTAAAGCAGATCAGAAAATTAAGGTAGCTCGAAACTTTAGTTCTACAGCGTTCATGTTTATCTTGAATTAGATGGAACATTATGCGATTCACCAGCCGAAAACAATGAAAGGTAGCATAGAAGGGAAGAATAAGCAAGAATGTAAGGATTATTGGTAGCAGAAGCTGAGAGGTGTAAATTAAGTTAGATTACCATGCAAATATTAATTCATCCAATCACAAGCCTTGATTTCGAAAGCCATTTAAGAAGCAGAAGCTGAGAGGTGTAAATTAAGTTAGTTTACCATGTAAATATTAATTCATCCAATCACAAGCCTTGATTTCGAAAGCCATTTAAGAGTCACCCATTATATAGAAGTAGCGTTCGTTTCCACATGGAATCCACTTAAGTGTTGTAGTGGTTGATGAATTATTACTGGAAGAGTTCACACAAAGCATGCATCCCCGAGTTGAATGGTCCACATAGAGACCGATCGAGAAAGACACAAAAGATTCAAAAAGCATAGACAAACAGGCACATGCAGTTGCTCTGAGCTCATTTACTGGTTACTCTAAGAGATTGAGGCTTGCAAATAATATCCCAGCTATAGTTATCATATCATTAGATAAATATTAATTACATAATTCATAGAAAAAAAWTAGTTTTCAAAGTTACAAATAATGTGTTTTTTTACATAGTCACCATGGTAACATTGGCTACAAGAAGCTGTGAGTTTGATCATCTATTACCACAGTAACTTCCCGAGGTTTTCTATGGTTGCCATAAGTAGACCATAATTTCATATTTTCTTGTTGACTTTAGCAATACATAATGGTAAATTAGTGCAAAAAAGAGATGGCGACTTTCGCCGCTGTTTTTGCTAATTTTTTCGTATCGTTGCGTTTTCCATGCTGTCGTGGGTGCATAGGTATGTTTTGTTTGTCTTGAATATTTTTGTTAAGTTGTTGCTGTTGTTTTAATTGAGGCCAAAGTGTTTCATCAAACCTCGTCAATTTTTCGGGAGTCGCCATGCAATGGTTTGAATCGTAGTTTTCTAGTGAATTCACGTGGGAATTCAAAATGATCCAAGATTGCGAAAAACTCACCTTTCTGTATGTAGTTATCTTTGTAAAATGTTCTTGAATAAACTTGCGATTCTTTTCTGTTGAAAGAAAGAGAAACAGGATATAAAACAAGCTGATGTAGACAGGTGTCTTGTTTTTCTTGTGTTATAGTATTTCCAATCAATTTGTTAATTTTGCCTCTAAACTCGATTGATGATCGACCTTAGGGCTACCACTTAAGAACTGAATGTCTTGGGGGAACGCAAGCTGCAGATAGTGTCACATAATCTTAAATGATCGCACTTAGGTCCATAAGACAACAACAACAAAAAACAGTTTTTCTAACACTTCCTTAGTTCAAAAATTGCCATTAAGTCTAAAGGCGTATAATAAAAAACATTTCATGAAACTTGAAATACCTGATTCTTTATTAAGTATAAACCGGTTTTTATCAAACATAAAACCCGTTTTCATTAAATATAAGAAAAACAGTCATCAAATATATCAGTTTTTCAAATATATAAGTTCGCAGGAAGCACTGTTTGGGCGCTTGCAATTACCTGCCTCTCTGTATGTATAGTTTTTTTTAGATAAGTTCGATCCTTTTAAACTACTCCAAAGCGAATGCTATCTTTCACACGTTGTGGGGGCAGTTTTGTATAAGTTTCATAATTTTTAACGGCTCAAGAGGCGTCAATAATTAATCAAAGGGTGTCTTTGTGCATGACCTTAGTAAAGAGTCCACGGTATCCCAAGGCCAAGTTTTGAAATAAATGCATTCCACTTGAAACTTCGACCAAAGATAGCTTGAGAGCAATATTTTAAGTGATTTGTAATTGCTTTTTTCGTTTGTAAGGCCGTTCCATGAAGTTTGTATAATTGCCTGTTCATGGCGTTATCACTTGAGGGTCGAAACTCAGTGACTGTGTCGTAAAGTGGAAAGCATTTTTGAGAGGGCTTTTTGGGACTTTCTATTATGAAAGCTCATGTTTTATGCACTTTTTATGATTTTTTCATCGAAGCATTTTTCAAGTGTTCTTAAAAAACCTGACTCAGTATGAAATAGATTGTAGAAAGACTTTACGCAACTGCTTCAAAATTTACATATTTTTTTTGCTTACTTTCATTGACTCTAGCTTTGAGCCAATCAACATAGGTGAACGAAATTAGCAACTAATTTATTAACCAATCAACACGATTGCCAGAATGAACATTTAACCATTAGCCAATCCGTTAGAAAACATTTTCAAACTCAATCTTATAATGAATCGTTATTTTTAACCAATCAAATCTTTTCGTCAAAAATGTATTAAACCAATCAGATTACTCCTTATAGTATTTTGACCATATGTGGTGATAACCAATTAAATAAGAATCTTGATTTAAATATTTTGGACGGTCAACTCTCGATGTAATCTTCGATGTTATATAAAAATACCGAAATAATTAATAATTCAAAATGATGGTGAGAGCGTCTCATTTTTAGGAAATAAGTATTTCACTAAGCATGGCCTTTTTTTTTAAATCAGGAAAAATGTAACGTCATTACACGATTAATTTTTCCGTTTAGGATTAGAAATGACAGACAATTTGGGCTGAAAAAATGATGAACAATTGCTCATATCGTTTTGAAGGTTTTTTCAGTCATTGTATGTTTTTCTTTCTGCCGAACTTAGAAAATGGTTTTAAGGGAATTCGCAAAAAAATATTATACACTAGTGTTTTTAGCTTTTATATTTATAGGATGAAAACTCATTTTTGCTCAAGCATTATCAATAACAATCGATGCTATCGAAATTTTAAGCTAAAAAGTACAAAATAATCAACACCGAATAAAGCTTAATAATGTGACATCTTTCTCCTTGTAAAATTGTAAATTTCTTAGATGGGCTTTTAGATATTTGTTGAGTATGACTTTTTTTCTAGTGGTAAAACTAGTAGATTGGTATTATATATATAGCGTAAGACCAGGGATACTTTACCTTATGGACTCGGGGCAGTTTTATGGCTCTATCCTACCTCTTCTGAAGTTAACCAACGAATGATTTAAGACCGATTTGCTTTTATAGATAAATAAGGGACGATTAACCGAATTCGTAAGCCGGCCTCTTGAACGTCTGCGCATAAAGTATGAGCAGAAGTTTGAGCGTGAGTTACATTGTTATTTAATGACGTATTGTGTGCCTTATCTGATCTAACTCTATAATCGATAATATAATTACGCTACATGAGCAGATGCTGGGAAGAAATTATCTATAGTTTGCGATGAAAAAATTAAAATATCTAATATGAAAGGGTGTATACAAGTGAAGAAAAGGCTCGACAAATAGACGTTGGAGTTTGTCAAGATTATCATTCAACGAACATCCGCCAGGAGCAGAGCGTTATCTAGGACTAGGCAAAAGATTTGGGCTGTAGTTTTTGATTGATTATCCCTATCGTTTCCATCATTCTCTTCTAACTATTCTCTTTACCTCGAGTATATTCTAGTTCGTTTGCACTTCATATTATCACGTAAACGCCTTAAACGCACACAACTTAAAATGTTTCTAAGTGTTCCAATTAATCAGGTAAATTGTGTTTTTAGAGATGATCGGTGCTAGTGCTTAGACTGTGGCACCAACACGGGCTGATAGGCGATCCCAAAGCGCAGGTGACCATGCCTATAATCGCTATCAGTTCCAGCCGGACAGCGATATGAGGAAATKAATTGTTCGTTCAACGAACTTGATTGTTTGCGCCTCTTCGCCGTTGAAGCTATTCTTTGTAAGCATTCAGTATTCAGCATTTTAATTTATTTCAAACGTATTTTGTTCCATTTCTTTTAAAAAATGAAGACTATGCTAGATTTGAATTTGATTCCCGCTTCATTGTGCTTTATAAAACTTAAAAAGTCACCTTTATTTCTCGAGTTTAAGGAGTTCTTCTTCGAGTTGACAAAACTGCTAACATTTCATGTGTTCGCTTTTGCAAAAAGAAAAAAAAATCAAAGTTTCACTCTAAAAATGTTTTTAATTTGTGTTTGTTTAATTTTAGATTAAGGAAGAAATGAGGAAAATAAATCAGTTCGTTCGGTACAAATGGTTTTAGATTAAGATAGAGAAATACAAAGAATAACTGAATTAAATCACATGAATTCATAACGAACATGTCATGGTTTTTTTTGGTCCTTTTTTGTTTAATTTTAGATTAAGATAAAGGAATAGGAAAAATAAATCAGTTAGTTCAGTACAAATGGCTTAATTTTGATGTTTAATTTTAGATTAGGATAGAGAAATACGAAGAATAACTGAATTACATCACATAAATAACTTTTGAAGTTTCGAGGTAAAAGAGAGAAAGAGATAAAAGTAAAACATTGCAGTGAAAAAAGGCTGAAAAAGGAAGGACCTTGATGCAGCATCTTTTTTTTTTTCCTTTTTTTTTTTTTTTTTTGATTTAAAAGTTTTCGAATGAGTAAGAAAATCCGCACCATTATCTTTCCGTCTCTCATCTCCCTCTCTCTCTGTTTCTTTATTTTGTTTTCTTAATTTGAAGCGAATCCCCCGCTGTTAGAGATTAAAGAAATGCGCCGTACAAAGATTGTAAAATTTCGAAGCTTTTGATTTGAATGTCGTGAGAGGAATGTCCTCACAACAAGATTGACGTAACCGTCATAGATTCGATAAGACTCAATTCCAACATCAAACAATCCTATTGGTCCAATAATCCAGAGATCGGGCAATAGGCTTTTATAACGTCATATGACATAATTGTTGTTTATTTAGTAATGTTTACAAGGCAAGGCGTGTAGGGCGGGCGTTTATCTGTATTTATGTAATGAAGAGGAAAACAGAAACTAAAAGGGTTATGTTATAGTACACTTGTGACTGGCGCGTCCTTCAAAAACGAAATACATTATGTTCTTATGTTCTTATGTCGTAATCTCGATTACAGCGAAAGGATATTCTATTAATTGATCTCCTTTAAAGTACCAGGGGTTTCTTTCGTACAAAAAAAGCTAAAATGAAAACAGAATGAAGAAAAAAGGATGAATAAAAATGGAGAGAAAAAGGTTGAAAAAATAGAGTAAAAAAGGACGATAAAATGAAGGAGAAAAGGATGAAAAATGAAGAGAGTTAAAAAACTAGAATAACAGAGACTCGTTCGTGGCTTAAGGCCTTGAAAGCTAAGGAGCAGATTTAGACTTCATTTTCACTGGTATAAGATTATTAATTATTACAAGATTATTAATTATTACATCTCCCAAGAGCTTGAGAAGGCCTTTTTTGAAAAGATTTTTAAAAATTAATAAGAGTCAAAATAAAGAAAGAGGATTATTTGGGATATACAGACGGAACTATAGCTCGAAAATAAGAAGTCGAACGACAGTAAGATTTGAAAAGAAAAGAAAAAGCCAACAATTTTTTTTCCTGAAAAATAGAAAGGTCTTGAAAGGAACTACTAAAAGAAATAGAAAAAACTGTGAAAAAGTACAAATGAGAAGGAAAGATTGAAGGGAAATAGGATTTAATGGGATAGAATAAATAGAAATATTCAGGAGAATATGTAACAAATAAGATAATAATGCTTGGTAATCGGTATTGTAGAAGTAGGACATTTTGATTCCATCTTTTTCACTTATCGCAAAAAAATATAACCTCAATTCGAACATTTTTTTTTTTCTTTTTGTTTGAGAGTTTTAAAGCCTTGAATAAATTTCCTTTCTCTTGTCAAGATTGTTTTTTCAGTCAGTCGTTCAGTCGAGGTTAAAAATCTATAAATGAGAAATGAAAAATGAAAAATAAACTCGCACTTTTTATCTTAAAATATAACGATTTCTACAATTATGAAGTTCTAAACTGATTGGAACAAAGATAGTATATGATGCATTCAAAATATCTAGTCGCATGAAGAGTGCTTTCCAGGAACTTATCTTTTGATAGTTTGTTTGTAGAGGTTAAATAGGCAGATAGAAAGATATCACTGCCATCTCACTATCCCATTAATTGATCCTATACTTGTGAATGATCAGTTCGATTTATATTCTTGGGTTTTTAGGTCGTTGGTAGTATAGGCGGTTGTCGTTTGGCTAATTGAATAGCACCATGAATGTTTG